AACACGATCCCCAATCTAGGCACGAAACGATCTGTAGGAGCCTGGAGACAAGAAGATCTAAGCTGTAAAATATAGGATACCGTAGGTACTATGTGGGGACTTCAGACTGGAGATTCCATTAAAGTTAGTTTAGTTATGAGCATTAGGATGGGAACATAAGCAGAGATGGAGAAATTACATATATTACATCTTGTCAGAACTCCAGGATCCAACTGCAGTTTTATTGCTCTCTGATCTTGGATCTTGAGTCTAGTGTTGCAGCTAATGATTATTTTCCTTATTGATGAATCTACAAATTATTTGATTATTCTACTAATATAGTTTAATTTACTATCACAAAAAAATAATAATAATAATTCATCACAACTGGGTTTCAGTAACAATTGGCATTTTAGTGGGAAAATAAGAGTATAGTTTTATTAATTTATTATTAGTCAGTCGACTAATGATTTCAGCTCCAGTGCAGTCCAGTGCAACTTCAGCAATGAATCTCTCACTATAAACTGCTCTTCTTAATACTGATGCACTTATCTGCGCTGTGTTTATTTACATGCAGGATGGAGACACCAGACCTCAGCCGTGAGGAAAATTTCTCCCAAAATGAATCTGAAGTTTTGGAAGATCAAAATCTGATAAATAGAAAGCAAAAATTCCCTGACAAATGTATGCTTCTTTGCGTATTCTCTGTGTTTTCTTTATAATTGGAATCTGCCAACATATGTATTTGAGTTTTTCATTTAAAGTGAACATTTAATTTGTGGTTCAGGGATTTCAAATATTTAGTGGTGTTTGATTTTAATGTTAACCACGTGAATTAATGTGGAAATCAGATTAGATACATTTTGATTCTGAGTGATGTTTGAGTGAGATTTTTTTCTGGTGGTGGTTGTGGATCCAGTTTGGTTATTTTACTGAATATTTCTTCCACTACAGGATTTACTGTTACTTATTCACAGTTTATTCACTTTTATTAATGGCATCTTTTATTTTGTTAATTATTCTACCTTTTGAAACTCTTGAGAAGCACTATGTTTTTCATCTATCAATATGAAAAAGCATTTAATACTCATACGATAAAGGCTCAAATCTTTTTTTTTTTTATGTAACCATTTGTATGAATGTGGTTAAGGCAAACTTTGGGTTTCATTGTGTTTTGCTCATTGTGTGAAAATGTTTTATATTGTTATTATGTAATGTAGCTATAAAGGGAAACCTACCAGAGGTTATTAGAAGTTTTGAACTTCATTCCTATTGAGACAGGTTGATAATAGAATATTTGAAATAAAACTCTTTTACTCTTCATTATGTGACTTTGCGCAGTTAAACTTGTCTAACACTTGAGGGAATCATTCACTTGCATGTTTCAGCTGTCGCCCAGGAATAGAAAGGCTGCTCAACTATAAAAACAGTTGAATTTGAACTTTATTGATGCAATGTGTAAAATGTACAAATTGTTTGTACAGTAGCAGGTGATATGTAACCCCCAAAGCACAAAAGATTATTTCTCTTGTGTGCACAAGATAATATATTGTGTTATATAAGTTACGGTCATACATGAAATAAGTAATAACTAAGAACACATAAAGAAAATGTATAATATAACCTAAGAATAAGTAATGTATGTCATTGATGTCAAATTTTACATTTACTGCCTTAATTCTCAACATGCCTCATGACAAGAGTCTGAACTGAAGCATCTGTCATTTATTCATTTTCTTATTATTATTGTCCTGTGGCTTCCATACTCTTCTACAATTGTAAAACAAATATTTTTTGGTTGGTGTTGGTGACACAAAACAAGACATTTAAAGAAGTCGCCTTAAGGTTAAGGATCTTCGATGGACATTTTCCACAATTTTCTAATATTTTCTTGACCAAACAACTAATCAATTAATCGAGAAAATAATCACAGATTAATGATAAAGACTTTAATTGTAAGTTGCAGCCATATATCTCATCACATTCCCATCAGTCTCCACAGAGTGTCTCCTTACAGCAAAAAGGTCCCAGATTCCATCCATCCTGGCCTCTAATGGGGAACCCTGTCAAGCTTCAGCATCTAATCATTAATAGATCTATGTTCCAACCATCACTCCTGATCATGAGCTTTGAGGTAGTGACTGAGAAAATGGGTAGCAGAACCGCTGCTCCCTCGTGACATATTGCTACTTTTAAAGGAGCATTTTTACTGCATTTTTGTTGTCTTAGTACTTGTACTTTGTGCAATGACAATAAAGTTGATTCTAATCTAATCTAGTGAACAGGATTGTTCAATGTGACTAACATCAGGGTTGAGATCCAAAATGATTGAGTAATATTTTGCCCTCCTTACACCTTAGCAACATGATCCCAGATTACTAGCTAAACATGGCCATAAGCTTTGTGTATGCAGTGCGTGTGTTGCAGAATGTTTTGCTTTTTATTCCAATGTTAACAAATCAGGGCAGGCACACTGCCCACATGAGCAATACGTCTCTGCAGCAACACTTCACTAGAGAGTTGAGGTCTTGCATATCTTTTCTATGTGCCATTACTAACAAAAACAGACACTATCAAAGGGACTGGGTCTGGCAACAGACTGCTGCTCTTGCTGTATTCCCACTAGGAGGGGACTGGAAACAGAACAAACAACAACGCTACCAAACTCCCTCGGAAGGTAAAACCGTCTCAAGAGAAGTTTGATAACACTGTTGTTTGTGCTGTATAGGGTGGAGATGATAGCAACATAAACTCATAGGTGTTTGTCACTGATGATAATCTGGAGCAGACTGGCAGAGCGTAAGTGTCCTTTCTCTTTACAATTTGCTAACTTTAATTTATAATATTTTTATTACGTAATTTAGTGACTATCTAACAATCCTACACAATATCAGGAAGCTCTGGCTGATCACAAGGCACGGGAATATAACATGTACGTAATCGTAGATCACACTAAATATTCAGGGCTAGAGATAACTTGTAGAATACACAGGAAGTGAGTATGTAAGATGTGAATGAACCTTGCCAACTGCATAATTGGGACTGTTCCTCTTAACTCTTGCTTGTGAAGTCCATTGTCAATCTAGAGCAAGAGATGTGGAGGCTAGAAAAAAATGAGAAGGAGGAAGATTACCGCAGGAAATGAACAACTATTTCAGTGATCAATCAGGGGAATTAAGAGGGAGGGAATTTTTTTAAATTTCTCTGATATTATTAAAGATAAAGATATTATTTAGTACCTTTAGAGTTTCTGAATGGCTTTTTCTGAAATGTAATTACTTATATTGTTATGTTTTGTTTTGTGAATTCAGACAAAAACATCTTCAGCAATTCAATCAATCAAAATCTGTCATTCATTAAAGAACAAATGCAACATTTCTTTAACGTTATTATTGTTTTGTGGCTTCCATACTCTTTTTCAATTGAAAACAAATATCTTTGGGTTTGTGTTGGTCACACAAAACAAGACATTTAAAGAAGTTGCCTTAAGGTACTTCTTCCACATTCACATAAGTAAAAAGACGAAAAGAACTCAGCAGAACTAACTGTTGGTACAAGAAAATGTTACAGCAAATCAGTGATCACTGAAATAAAATAGGCGACTAGTACATTTATATTCAATTTTTGGTCTGTGTGGCCTGGGAATAAGTTCATGAGCAACTAGAACAGCACTTTCATTCAACTTTTTAATTTTGCCAGGCATTTTGGGCAAGACACCCTTCTTCAGTGTGTATTGGCAAGTTCATCCCATTTTACTTTATCAAACACCTTTTCAAAGTCAGCAATAAATAAAAGCCCATTACAATTCCTCATTCACAAATTAGGCAATGCAAATTATTTGACTCAGAGGGCAGTAGTTAGATGGGTGTGGCGGAGACAAAGTATTGTTCAACACAGCACAGGTCTGTCGTGATCAGATGTTTAAACAATGTGATATAACATTGCTCAGTTACGATTTAGCTTTAAGAATTGGACTCTGGAAGGAACCATTGCATTTCAGAAGAAAAAAATGGCAGAACAAGTTTAGTATAAAATAGTTTTTCTGGTTTTGGTAACTATTTGAAGACTTTCCTTATGATTCTGTATTGTAAGGTGTTGAAGCTAATATCAAGGCTACTTGTCATAATAAAAACTTAATTAACTGCTTTGACTTTCACCCAGAAGAAAACACCACTGTGAAGAATAACGGCAATATGTAAGTGTCTCAGGTTGCAATGTCAAAACATTTTAACAATCCTGGATAGAAGTGTATAAAAAGCAAATTCCTCTGATGTTCTACAATAACCTGATTTATTTAAGTCTTCACAAATCACTTTTCTCTCTTCTACTCATTCCCTACTATGGAAACTTTGTTGGAGCAGGAACCCCGAGCAGATCCCAAGCAAGGTAATATATCATGTGCCTAATCGTACATCCCTCTAGATGTTAATACATTTTCAGGACTCGAGAGATAAAAGAGAGAAAGGTGAAAAACAGGGAAAAGATCCAACAGCTTGTAAAATAAACAGCCAGAATCAGTGAAATTCATACACAACGACAACATCAAGATTGTGCATGTTGATTCTACAGCAAAGAAGAAGAAAAAATCAGGAAGATATGTATGAAATAAAGAAAGACCAGCTTGTGAAGCCCTCAGGAGAACTGGAGTTGGTTTACTCTTTTGGGTAATAACTGGACTGGATTTTGTTGTATGTGTTCTACAGGTGTTTAATGATCCCATCCACGGGCATATGGAGTTACACCCACTTCTTGTCAAAATCATTGACACGCCTCAGTTCCAGAGACTACGGAATATCAAGCAGCTCGGAGGGGCCTACTTTGTTTACCCTGGAGCATCCCACAACCGCTTTGAACACTCGATTGGGTATGTTTTCAGGATTTTTTAGATCTAGTGTCTTAAGGTAATGGTAATCACAATCCTAATTAAGTAAATACCTGTTTGTAGTAAAGCACCTATCAATAGCAAAATATTTTAAAAGTAAACATATTACATACCTTACTTAGTATTGGTAAAACACAAATTCATATATTTCAAGTTTTGCAACAGGATACTCATGTAGTAATTGTGTAATGAGTTATTTGTTGTGTGTGCTGTATGTGGTGGTAAAGGGTGGCGCATTTAGCAGGACAGCTTGGACAAGCTCTGAAAACCAAGCAGCCAGGTCTCAACATCACTAACAGAGACATCCTCTGCGTACAGATTGCTGGTCTTTGTCATGATCTCGGTGAGTGAGGCACACCTTTGGAAATTGTCGAATAAAAGTCAATGTTGATCCAATTTCAAGGGTTTCTGTAGGCACTAACAATTAAAGGCTCGTCGGAACTAACAGCAGACAAAAAAAACAATGTGTGCAATGGTCCACATGATAATGTACATTTCTGTTCTTCAGAATACTTTTCTTATTTCAGTGAGCTACTGCTAATTCAAACTCAGCATTCCTGTAGATGTTTTAGATTAAATGTCTAACAGATAAGTCCTTTAGTTCAAAATACTTACAGGAAGTGTTGAATTTCTTTGACATTTAACATTAAATCTTATTGAATGGTAAAGTGAAAAGTTTAAAAGGTATTCTTGAAAAGAACTAGTTCATATTACATGTTGTCTGACCATTTCAGAAGGAAAAAGTGTTTATAGTTGTTCCAAAGGACCATACTTGATGCAAGGTCGCAAGATGATAATTGTTGAAATATAAAATAATGGCACAAACTTCAGACAGTCTCTCCTGTAAGGCATTCATAGTGTTGTACACACAAAAAGTAACTCTCTTGTTTACGCATTCACTACCAATAAAACTACCAATGCTATAGAGAGCAGTAAATTAAGATTTTAGATATTTAATAATCAAAGTCACGTTTATCACAAACAGGAAACAGTTCATCTTTTAAGAAAATTCTGTTGAAATTTGTGCTGATTTCAAATGGAAACTTGGCTAGAATTTTAATCTAACACAGCTGAGATGTACGTTTAGAGTTTATTAAAACAGTTAAACTTGGAGGAAATGTTGAATTTGCATTATCAGCGAACAATAATGAAAGCAAATGGGAGAACATTACGAAACATGATCAAATGTACTTATTAAAATGTGTGAATAAGAGGTAAAGGCCTGCCTCCAATACAAGCCTGTTTCAAACAATAACAATAAGATAAAATCACAAATGGCTCATTTTACAGTTCACACACAATCACCTTTAGATTAACTTCAATTTATTTCTCCATATCTAGGACATGGGCCATTTTCCCATCTGTTTGATGCAATGTTCATCCCTAGAGCACGTCCAGACATGAGGGAGTGGAAGGTAAGAAACAATTATTTCTGTTGTTCATGACATATAACATGACAAAGGAAAACACAGCCATGAGCTGCATTAAGGAAGCAAATCAGTTAGATATAAATGGTAACTAATTAGCAAAGACACAAACAACAAGTCAGTGCTTAGTTGTTAAGGTGCAAGCAAAAAAGCCAACATAATGGCGGATCATTTATTTGTGAGCCCAACTGAACACTGAGATACGGTTTAAAAAAACAAATCATCTGATTTCATCTCAGGCATAATGGATAATAATGGCATAATGCAGTCTCTTTAGGTACGGACATCTTCATGGTTATTTTCTCAGACTGGAGAGAAACAGTAGACATAGGCTGAGTAGCACTAACTGTGACTAGTGAACTGATCTTAATGTGTAGAATTTGTTGCAGTCCCCTTACTTTGAAAACATAAAGACCAGGTGAGATGAAAAGTGTCATTTTAACCCTTTAAGTATGCATCCTCCGTTATATTGTACCCCTATTTAAGACTACATGCCAAAATCATCGTTTCTTACTGTAAAACAAAATGTGACACGTGCTTACGTAAGCATAAAATAACTGATTTCAACCAATAACATCATGACATTCACCTGTCAATAAAGCTTCAACTTTTAGTGACACAGAGCGAAGATTCATGAGTTAGCTAGCTAGAAAAAGCATGGCTAGCTACAGGAGCCGAGTGATTCTGGGACCTCACTGAAAGTGAATCATATTTGATTTGTTGCTGAAGAAGAAGCTACGTGTTGCTAAAAGAAATGTTAGATGTTAGATTGTTCTCACTTTGAATTCTGTTATAAATATATTAATGAGTCTGTTTCTGTTGCAGCATGAAACTGCTTCTCTGGCCATGTTTGACCACCTGGTGGAAAGTAATGGTCTGGAGGTTGTGATGGAGCAGTATGGCCTGATCCCATCCGAGGATCTGACCTTCATCAAGGAGATGATTCACACAGACAACAACAATGACCAGGAGGTACCGAAAGTTTCACAGGAATTGTGTGAAATCAGTCAGTATCAATATTGTTACAGCAACCAATGTCTAATGCCAAGATTGTCTGTAGTCTCCACAGTGGCCGTATGAAGGCCGTACAGAAGACAAATCCTTCCTCTATGAAATCGTGTCCAACAAAGAAAATGGCATTGATGTGGACAAGTTCGACTACTTTGCCAGGTGGGACTTGTTTAACAGCGACTGTGGAACAATTTACTTTGTGATGTAGAATGATGAACTTTGTAGGGTTTGCTATGATAAATCACAGCGGCCCCATTTGTTGGTACAACAGTGGTTTAACTGTATTAGTGTAATCAATTTATTTTGGTTATCAAAGTTTAGAATTATCAAAAGATAATAGAAAATGACTTTAATTAATATTAAAGATCATCGGGGCACCACCCTTAAATAAGGGAATGATAGCCAATATTTGATTGATAAGTCTCATAAAAATACACTAAATTATTAATTTAGAAATCAGATTAATAATTCTAACTACAAGTTTTAATAATTAACTACAACCACAATCCCTATTAATAATTAAAGTGGAAGCCTTTGGAGTTCTGCATAGAAGAGGTTGGTATCACTCACTCTTGTACGAAATTAAATAGGCCAGCATGTATAAACACAAACATTTATTAAAGGAACAATAAACGCAAACAGATCAAAATACACAATGTGCAATCTAACTTAGCGGGAGGGTTTGAGTTTGAGTTGCATGCAAAGACGGTGTCTGTGTGAAGCATTACATTAAACTACCATCACTTTAGCAATGTCTCAGAGAATACAGTTACTACAGTAACCTGCGTTAATCAAATCAACAACACAATACAATAACCACAATAACCCGAATAAAAACACATTAGTAACATCAACAGTAATTAAAGTCCTTGTTCAGCCGTTAACTCTGTTAAGTTATCTGTTTATGCCCAGTACGTTACCGACAGTCCAACGGAGGAAGAAGAAGAAGAGTTGCGGGTGTGCTGCGTGGGTCAGCTGATCAGATTCTGGTTCTGAAGTCCAAACAGTCTCTGATGTCCGCTGGTGCAGGTAGCAAGAAAAAAGGCGTTTCGCTCGTTGCTCTGCAGAGTTAAGGACTTGGCGTTAACGTCGCGTTGCTCCGGTACAGTCAGACTTTCTCTTTAAAGCTGCAGATGTTGACTCCCGTTAGCGGTGCGCTGCCCAGGGATCGCAGGAAGAAGCTCTTGTGCCGTACTATAATCCTTAGACGTGCGTCGGCGGTGGGACGGGCCGCACCGAGGTCCTAAACGTATCACCCGGTGTGGGCGAGCGAGTGAGCGGCGAGAGAGAAGAGAGAGAAAAGAGAGAAGAGAGAGAAAAGAGAGAAGAGAGAGAGTAACTCCGTGTCAGGAGTTTTATCACCTGGACATCGCGCGTCATCAAGCTGCATGAGGTTACGGTCACAGGAAGTGACAGGAAGTGACCCGTCACAATAAAAGTCCAGTTAACCACATGAACGAGCTCACATTTTAAGGTCCCCTTTGAGCCGACAACTTTTATGTATTATTTCCCCAGAACAATTACAATAAATAGGAACTAAAAGGCAGATCTTCACAGCTTGGTACCAACTGGAGGAACTTGCAGTGATCATATTTGATGAGAAGAGATGTAGGCTTTCCAAAAGATCCTCATAGAAATAAAGAAATTACCTTATTTAAAAAAAAAAAAACTAACTTCAAAATGATAGTGTTGGAGATTTTAACATTGATTGGCTAACTAAAGCTTCTCATTATTTAAATGAGTTTTTCCAGTCTATTCAACCCTGTGCTCTATAAATCCCAACTGCAACAATAATATTATTAGGCACAAGTTTTATTTTGTATTTTTTTATTTATTATTTTATTTTATTATTTATTAATTAATTTTTTTATTTTTTTTAGTCAGAGGAGCAGAATTACTTAATGTCTTCTGGCATAGGGAAGATATAAATAAGATTATTAAAATTCATATTAGTGCGTCTGGTTCACCATCTACATGGCCCACAGACTGATAACACGAGTTTGAGGCTGAAGTTCTGTCCAGAAGGGGGGGCCTGGTAAAATAAGATAGGACAAGAAGGCCGAAACAGTGACGAGGTGTAATGACCGTTTGCCCAGATGTGGCAGGGGGAGTCAGTTACACAGGACATTGTTTGGAACTTTCTCCAGGTTGCTTTTGCTGATTAGACACAATAAGACAATTTTCTTCACTCTGTTCTATCTTAGGGACTGCTACCACCTGGGCGTCCAGATCAACTTTGACTATCGTCGCTTCTTAAAGTTTGCTAGGGTGTGTGAGGTGGATGGCCGGAAGCACATCTGTGTTAGAGACAAGGTAAAGACAATGTTACTCCTACTCTTGTATCAGATTGTAAACAGATTTGTTCCGACTAAACTATAGGCAATACTCTCAACAGGAGGAGGATAATATGACTGAAATGTTCCACACCAGGCTCTGTCTCCACAGAAGAGCCTACCAGCACAAAGTGACCAAGATCATAGAGACTATGTGAGTACTTACCCTTCTCTACTTTTTAAGCAGCTTTTCTGAAGAATGCAATGCATGTTGTGATGTTTTTAGACATTTTGTTTTACAATGAAATGGCAGGATAAATTAAAAATCAAAGGCAACTTGTTCCAGTGAGAATGACATCTCTGGTAGTTTGGTGACAGGTGGTGACATTTTGTGTGTTTCATTTTTAAATGTGAAAATATCACTTTTAAAAATGATTAATGATTAATAATGATTAATGAAGATGATTAATAATGATTATCCAGGATCACAGATGCCTTTTTAAAAGCAGACTCAGTAGAGAACAATGAATCAACAATCACTATCTACAAAGCCATTGATGGCAAGACTGAAAGCACAGAAAAGAAGACTTTCAGACTCTCCAAGGCCATTGATGACATGGAGGCCTACACTAAGCTGACAGGTCTGTAGATAGCACTGGGACAAATCTGGTTCTCTAGCTGTAAGAACACGTGTTTGTTTAGTAAATCTTTATAATAATAAGCAATTGTAAAATCTGTCATTGCAATTTGATATTTTTTGCAATAGTGCAGCCTTAATTAATTCACATTTTATTTAGCTGATTTTCTGAAGTTTGGTTAAAATCTGTGCTATATTTTGATAAAAACCTAGTTACTAACAGTTAGGCTACCTAGCTTATTATTGAGAAACTAACAGGTATATTGCATTAAGAGGTAATAAGTTTTGTTGGAGTTGTTGGAGTTCAAAACTCATCTAAACTCCATTAAATCCAATAAAGAGCAGGACAGTTGTAAACATTACCCTAGACTTTGACACAGTAGCAACTACAATCATGTGAATATGCATATAAACACAATGGTTTTCTCAAGCATGCTTAAATAAAGTTAATTTAATTTATTCCATATTTAAAAACAAATGAATGAGGTAAAGTAATCTTGTCCCAGTTATACTGTCTCTCAGGTTACCATGTCCGTTTTGAATTTGTGAAACACTATGAATGATTTGTGACCATGTCTTTGGTTTGGTTTAATTCACTGATCTTCCACTCTGTTTATCTGTTTCTCTGTAGATGCTGTGTTTGAACAAATACTCAACTCAACATCCGAGGGGCTGAAGGATGCAAGACACATTCTACGCAGGATCATCACTCGAAAACTCTACAGGTTTCTGGGTGAAACGCGGTTGGACGATCCCACTGAGGTTTCTACAAATGTCGTTGTGTGCCTTTATTGCATTACACTGTCTGTCGTATCATCTATTTCTCTGTTATAATGAAGCTGGATGTTATGCTCCTTTTGTGTGCACATTCCTTGTTTCTGTTTTCTCTATCTTTTTCTCATTGCTTATATGGATATTGTGCTTGGATTTCACATGGACTACAACACATTCCTACCATTTACTTACCATTTGAATTTAGAGGATGTGATAGCAATGTGAGCAAAATCACAGAAAGAAACTTACTCTCTTACTGGATCTACACTGAGCTGGCAGTTTTTTGTGTGAAAATGACTCACATTCACACTCCAATACAGGTCATATATTTCATAGAACTTCTGCCCACAGGTAAACAGTAGAAAAGGCAAAATCTCTTCTTCTTTATCTTCTTTTTAGTTGGCAAACAACAAAATTGCACATCACAGCCAACACCTGGTGATGTGTTGGACAGACAGCCCAGCTGACAAATACTCCTTGTGATGCTGTTTTAATGCAGCCAATATTGTTGTCACTTAATATTTTCCTGTACTGGAATGAGTATGACATAAATATTACACCTCTGTGGCTCAGGAGGTAGAGCAGGGTGGATGATTTGATCCTCAGCTCCTCCTGTCAATATGTCAAAGTGACCTTGAGAAAGACATTGAATCTGAAAGCCCTTGTTAGCCGCGTTAAGATCAAAAAGCTTGATGTACACTGCACAAAATTATAAACGCAACACTTTTGTTTTTGCATTTTCGAGTGGCCTTTTATTGTGGCCAGCCTAAGGCACACCTGTGCAATACCCATGCTATGCTGATCAGCATCTTGATATGCCATATCTGTGAGGTGGATGGATTATCTCGGCAAAGGAGAAGTGCTCACTAACATAGATTTTGACAGATTTGAACAATATTTGGGAGAAATAGGCCTGTTATGTACATAGAGAAAGTCTTAGATCTTTGAGTTCAGCTCATGATGAATGGGGGCAAAAACAAAAGTGTTGCTTTTTAAATTTTGTTCAGTCTAATGTGCATGTTATTTCCAAGCTGCAGTGCACATAAAATCACTATTTTATGATCATGAGATCATGTGATCTAGTCAAACACACACACAAACTCCCTGACTGAATAAAACTGCACAGATTTTCCTCACACACACTGCAAGATTTAAATACTCTGTAGAAAGTTTTGGAATAGCTCCACGAATTCTGTTTTAGTGTGGACAAAGAGCCAAAACCAAGAAACAAAGATTTAAATGTAACTGCTTGATGCAGATGTAGTCCTACAGTGTGTTGTTAAGATGCAATAAATCTCAAACCTCTTGTCGCTCTACTTCTCACCCTTTCTCCTCCTTTCTTAGGAAAAAGGAGAAATTCCTGTTTGGAAAAAGGAATTGATGAAACTTCTTGGTGACAGGTGGAAAGAACATGACTTTGAGATTAAGGTGACTTTTCAGTCTAAAACTTCACTTTTCTCTAAATGTTTATAATAATTATCAATTGATTTGTAAGATGTTGTCTTCCTCCATTTTAGCATAATTTGATTTGAGAATATGAAAACAAACTTATCTCCCACATTTTCTCTGTTAGACCATTGAAATGGTCAAAAAAACTTAGGAGGCAACAAAAACATTTTCTTAACTTTACTAACACACACACGCACACACACGCACACAAACTCCCTGACTGAATAAAACTGCACAGATTTTCCTCAAACACACTACAAGATTTAAATACTCTGTAGAAAGTTTTAGAATAGCTCCATGAATTCTGTTTTAGTGTGGACAAAGAGCCAAAACCGAAAAACAAAGATTTAAATGTAACTGCTTAATGCAGATGTAGTCCTACAGTGTGTTGTTAAGATGCAATAAATCTCAAACCTCTTGTCCTACCACTTCTCCTCCCTTCCTAGGAAATATTTCCTGCTTGGAAAAGGGAATTGGCTAAAACTCTCGGTGGCGAGCTGACCGAAGATGACTTTGACATTACGGTGAGTTTTCAGTCTAAAACTTCACTTTTCTTTAAATGTTTTTAAGTGTCTTAATTATCAATTGATTTGTAAGATGTTGACTTCCTCCATTTTAGTGTAATTTGATTTGAGAATATGAAAACAAGCTTCTCTCCCACATTTCTCTGTTAGACCATTAAAATGGACTATGGGATGAAACGCGAGGACCCCATCGATCACTTATATTTCTACAGCAAGCACAACACTACCCGCGCATTCAAGAGGAAGGTCAGAACTAAAACGATGATGACAACAGTTTTAATTTTAGTCTTCCTTTGCATTACATCCCTCTGTTGTAATTATTCTGAAATGTATGCTGCTTTCAGCGTTGTCAGGTGTCCAGGATACGCCCAACGTGCTTTTCTGAGCGACTGGTCAGGTTTGTCTGTAAGAAGACTGATCTGAAGGCTGATCCGAAGGCTGACCCGAGGGCTGAGTTTAAAAAGTGGTGCAAGGCAAAGGGCTTCCCAGAGTATCAGGTAATCTTTATAAATAAGCTATTAAATATATGATATTGTAGGTATTATGTGGGAGTTTGTGTAGCCTAGGGCTGTAGCCACTGATTACTTTCATTATTGTTTAATATACCAAATATTTTCTTATAAAAGCAGTCAGAAAACTCAAAAATTATTGATTTACTTAAACATAAGACAGAAAAACAGCAAAGCTGAATCTAGGCAACATTTTTGCTTGAAAAATGACTTAATTATGATTATAATTGTTTATCAAAATAGTTGCCCAACTTCAGTTATGTATCTTTCACTCCAGCTTTTGGAAGATGGACATCAAAACTGAAAACAAGCAAACACTCCCTGGTAATCATTGGTTCATGATTGAAAATGATTTAAATATTATATAAGGTGAGTATGTTAATGCACACAGAGTCTTCTTTATAAATTAGGATGCATTTGTATATTCAGGCCCTGTACTCTGGTCTTTTAGAGGCCTGATCAATATTATACATGTATCTGTAGTTTAGTTTGATTTTAGACTCCTTTCATAATCTAAAGCTGTACGTGTCTGATTTTAAACTGAATCACTTCTTAATAGCATGTTGTTACTAAAAACATACCAGAAACATACTATTACTCTGTTGTGAACAATCAATCATGGTTACTTAAAATATCTTTGTGTGAAACTGAATATGTACACAGAAAGTTTCACTGATTTATTCATTTATGCGTCTTCATGTATTCTGTGTATTCACTTGCCAACATATATAATGGAGTTTGTCATTTAAAGTTTAATTTGTGGTTAAGGGATTTCAAATATTTTGGTTTTGATGTTAATCATGTGACTTAATGTGGAAATTTGATTAGATATTATTATGACTTTGAGTGATGTTTGATTTTAGGTAGTTTCTGGTGGTGGTTGTGGTTCCAACGATTGACTGTATCTTTCTTGAACCACAGAATTTATCTTTACTTCTTCAATGTTGATTTTTTTTTCATTTGTTTTTAAATATCTCTTTTATTGGTGACATATTTTATCATATTTTGGTCTTGAATTATTCTACCTTTTGAAACTGGCTCTTTTTTAATGTAACCATCTGTATGCATGTGGTAAATGGAAAATTATAAATATATAATCATATTCTAAATATGTAATGGGGCTATAAAGGGAAATCTACCAGAGACAATTAGAAGCTTAGAAGCTTTAAACTTAATTCCTAAAGTTGATAACAGATTGTGCTCTACTTGAAATAAAACTATTTTTTCCTTTGATTGTGTGCCCTCGTGCAGTTTAATTTGTCACACACTAGAGGACATCATACACTCTCGTGTGTTTTGCTGCAGCTATCCCCAACCCCATGTAATGTGTCTAATATACACATTGTTTGTACAGTAACAGGTGATATGGAACCCCCAAAGTCAAAGACAATTATTTTTCTGGTCTTGTGTACACAAGATAATATGTTGAGGCACAAGTGATGGTAACGCATGAAATAAGTAGTTTTTATTAATTTAATTGATATCCAACTGTACATTTATTGCTTTAATTTTCCTAACATGAACAGCAAAAAGCCCAGTGTTGAATTAACTCGCACAGAGTTGACAGTTTTTCAGGGTTTATATAGCTCCACACTCTCCAGAGTTATTAATCAAAATAGTTAAACATTTTACACTTTGCAGAGTTAATTTTACTCCCTTTAAGTGTAAAATCTACACTGAAAAAATGTAAATATTAATTATAACAATTAATGACAATAATCTCAATAATTTTCAAAATTAAAATCAGTTTTTGCCTTTTCATGTGTAAAACCATCAATCATATCATCATATAAATCATACGCATTAAAACGCAAAATGTGCTTTGAAATGTTCATCAAATGGCTTGAGGGAGTGGTGTTATGTTTGGTAGGACTGTGGACCGGGGTGCGGATTCAGATCACTCTAGGCAGGTTGAGGTCAAGGGTTTTATTCACAAAGAACTGAGTAGAAGTGGAACTGTGCTTGAAAAGGGCAAGGTGAGAGCAGGGGCAGGCAGGTCCTGAACAGTGGCAACCAGCGCTCCAAAAGATCCTCCAGGCAACACAAAACACTCCAGGTGCAGGAATCTGCAGGAAAGGAGAGAAAAAACACAAAGCTTTTAGTTCTGGTCTTGACAGAGAAACTCAGTCTAAAACTAACCAAAAACTCTAGAGACTAAATTGGCCTGAAGTACTCAACCATGGGTAAGGAATAATCTGGCGACGAGTCTCAGGTAACCCCACTTCTTAAGGCCAGGCACTGATGAGAATTGCCAGCAGGTGTGCAACTCCACCAGGTGATCAGCTCACTGCCAGGCATAACACACACCCACAGACAGAACCACAGGAGAAACAGAAAACAAGGAACACACCCCCAAGTGTCACAGCATCAACTGTGACAAGTGGTTTGCCTGGCATGAGATGAGATGCTTATCCATGGTGATGTAGAAGCTGTCAATCCAGTTCTTCTGACGCCTAACAGTGAGGAGGTGTGGTTGTTGATCCTGCTGGTTGCGGGAGATGATCCTCCAAACTGTAGCATGACTACGGTTGAGATAAGGAAACAAAGAGAGAGATCATTATTGAAGTGATTACTTAAACATCTCCCTGCCTAGTGTGAAAAAGGAAAGCATATGAAGACAATTTGTCTTTCTCTAAAATGACTGACCCCACCTTTAATGTGTAAGAAACATTTCAATGTTGCAGCTTGTTGAGGGGAAACTAATTTTAACCATCTTTTAGACCGTTGGGTGGTTCAATCTATAACAACGTGCCACATTTTATAAGCAAATGATATGTTATGTAAGTAAAATCTATATAAAGTACAGTGGCTGAGAAGTTGATCTGGACTGAAAGCATCTCTCCATTTCCTCCTAGACAAATTAGGCAATGCAAATTTGAGGTATATAAATGTCATTTTTGGAGACAGAGTTGCTAGTCAAGATTAGAAGTCTTGTGTAATGGTCTGCCCTGATCACCTGTTTTAACAACGTGATATAACATTAGTGTGACTATCCTGATATATTTATATCGCTTGTCAGATCACAGACACAGATACAACCTTTGACAGATCCAAGACTCTAAAGAAGACAATGCCAGCAAAGTTGCCTTTCAACTTTAAGAAATGGACTGTGAACAAAATTGTGCAGTACCTTGAACAAGAAGAACTTGGACAATGGGCAGATAAATTCAAAGGTTGGTTTTCTGGTTTGGTAGATTTAATTAAAGTTAAGTTATAATCTCATGGTGTAACGTAAATAAGTTAAGAAGTTAGAAGCTGCTTTAACTAAGGACTTTCCCTATGATTCTGTATTGTGAGGCATGGAAGCCAATATGAAGGCTACTTGTCATAATGTAATACAGGACAGTTATTAACGGCTTTCTCTATTACACAGAAAAACAAATCACTGGTAATAATAATAATAATACATTTTATTTAAAGGCGCCTCTCTGGGCACTCGAGGACACCGTACAACGCATAAAAAATAAAAACAGTAAGAAATAAGAAACAGATAAGAAAAGACGATGTAGTTAAGTAAGTTTATAGTTAAGTGGGGTATGCAGTTCTAAATAGGTGAGTTTTTAGTATTGATTTGAAGAGTCTTAGAGAGTCCAGGTTCCTGAGGTCCGGTGGGAGTGAGTTCCAGAGATGGGGGGCACCATGCTCCCCATGGTGACGAGGCGGGCGGGAGGGACAGAGAGGTGGACAGAGGAGGCAGATCCGAGGGAACGGGAAGGGGTGGCGATGTGGAGGAGTTCGGACAGATAAGGAGGGGAAAGGTTGTGGATGGCCTTGAACGTAAACAGGAGGATTTTGAAGTTTATGCAGAGTTTGACCGGGAGCCAGTGAAGTTGCTGCAGAACAGGGGTGATGTGGTGGATGGAGGGGGTTCTGGTGATGATTCGAGCTGCAGAGTTCTGAACCAGTTGAAGTTTATTGAGGTATTTGTGAGGTAGACCGAAAAGAAGGGAGTTGCAGTAGTCGATGCGGGAGGTGACAAGGCTGTGTACAAGAATGGCAGTGGAGTGGGGAGAAAAGGAGGGGGCGGAGGCGATTAATATTGCGAAGGTGGAAATATGCAGACCGGGTGATGTTATTGATATGGGATTGTAAAGATAATGTGCTGTCAAGGATGACACCCAGACTCTTAACCTGGGGGGAGGGGGAGACAGAGGAGTGGTCGATGGTGAGGGAAAAACTGTCAGCTTTTGAGAGGGTTGATTTAGTGCCAATAAGAAGAAATTATGTTTTATCACTGTTTAGTTTGAGGAAGTTGGAGGAAAACCAGGATTTGAGCTCGGTGAAGCAGTCAGTAAGGGAGGAAGGTGGGAGAGTGGAATTGGGTTTGCTGGAGAGGTAGAGCTGGGTGTCATCCGCGTAGCAATGAAAATGGATGTTGTATTTGCGGAAGATATTGCCAAGGGGAAGGAGGTAGATTATGAAGAGAAGGGGGGCCAGGACAGAGCCCTGGGGCACACCAGTGGTGTCAGGGGACGGGTGGGAACTGAAGTATTGGAGTTGGATGAACTGAGTGCGGCCTGAGAGGTAGGATTTAAACAGGTCAAGGGGTGTGTGTGAAATGCCAATGGAAATTAATCTGTTGAAGAGGATAGTGTGAGAGATGGTGTCGAAGGCCGCACTCAGATCGAGGAGGATGAGAATAGTGAGTAAACCAGAGTCGGCTGCCAGGAGGAGGTCGTTTGTGATTTTGATTAGTGCAGATTCAGTGCTATGGAGGGGGCGGAAACCAGACTGGAATTGTTCGTACAAGTTGTTAAGGGTTAGATGAGAATGAATTTGGGAAGCAACAGTTTTTTCAAGGATTTTGGAGAGGAAAGGTAGGTTGGAGATGGGACGATGGTTATTATAATTATTAGGGTCAGCAACAGGTTTTTTCAATATTGGAGTGATGGCAGCAGTTTTGAAGAGTGTAGGAACAATTCCAGTGGAGAGTGAGGAATGGATGATGGCAGAGATGAGGGGGAGCAGAGAGGGGAGGCAGGCTTTCACCAGAACTGAGGGGAGGGGATCTAACTGACAGGTGGAGGGCTTGGACTTTAGGATGAGGTCTGAGATATCTAAGTTCGAGGGGAGCTGAAAGAAGGAGAATGAGTGAGACGTCAGACAGGGTTCAGGATCTGATGAATTTTCTGATTGAAAAAGGACATCAGGGAGTCACAGAAAGCAGTTGAGTACAGATGGGGAGGGAGAGAGGCTGGGGCCTGATTGTACCACCATCTGATTTCTTTTAGTTTTCACACCTCAATTTTCTCTCTTCAACTAATTCCCTATTATACTCTTCTTTTTCGAGGGAACCTAATGATCGTGAGAGAATCCTGTTCTGTATCAGGAAGCTCTGGGAAGTCCAAGGCAAGTTAATTTATGTGTCTAATTATACATCACAATACATTTCCATACATTTTAAGGACTAGAGAGATAAGAGAGAGTAAATAGAAAAAATCAAGAGCTTGTAAAATACACAACTAAAAGATTCCAGGATCAGTGAATGAACCTAATCACAAAATCAAAATTGGGCTTGTTTACTCTCCATTGTTGATTGGACAGCAAAGGAGATGTGGGAGGAAAAAAATCAGAAATATTGCAGTATGAAATAAAGAAAAGACTAGCCCTCAGGAGAACTCGAGTTGGTTTACCCTTTTGGGTAATAACTGGACTTGATATTGTTTTATGTGTTCTACAGGTGTTCAATGATCCCATCCACGGGCATATGGAGTTACACCCACTTCTTGTCAAAATCATTGACACGCCTCAGTTCCAGAGACTACGGAATATCAAGCAGCTTGGAGGGGCATCATCAAATACAGTCGCAAGCGGCGTTAGTTGCATCCCCACTGTAAGCCAGTAAATCCTTCACACTTGTCCTTTAAAAAGCAAGGCAGAGTCCAGCCAATGGTCAGCGGCTGTCTGCCTCGACTGCTTGAGGTTTGAGTGTGGGTGGGGAGTATAGAGAGGAGTAAACACAATCCCCAATCTAGGCACGAAACGATCTGTAGGAACCTGGAGACAAGAAGATCTAGGCTGTATAATATAGGATACCGTAGGTACTATATGGGGACTTCAGACTGGAGATTCCATTAAAGTTAGTTTAGTTATGAGCATTAGGATGGGAACATAAGCAGAGATGGAGAAATTACATATATTACATCTTGTCAGAGCTCCAGGATCCAACTGCAGTTTTATTGCTCTCTGATCTTGGATCTTGAGTCTAGTCTTGCAGCTAATGATTATTTTCCTTGTTGATGAATCTACAAATTATTTGATTATTCTACTAATATAGTTTAATTTAATTTCAGAATTTAAAATTCATCACAACTGGGTTTCAGTAACAATTGGCATTTTAGTGGGAAAATAAGAGTATAGTTTTATTAATTTATTATTAGTCAGTCGACTAATGATTTCAGCTCCAGTGCAGTCTAGTGCAACTTCAGCAATGAATCTCTCACTATAAACTGCTCTTCATAATACTGATGCACTTATCTGCGCTGTGTTTATTTACATGCAGGATGGAGACACCGGAGCTCAGCCGTGAGGAAAATTTCCCCAAAAATTAATCTGAAGTTTTGGAAGATCAAAACTGATAAATAGAAAGCAAAAATTCCCTAACAAATGTATGCTTCTTTGCGTATTCTCTGTGTTTTCTTTATAATTGGAATCTGCCAACATATGTAATGGAGTTTTTCATTTAAAGTGAACATTTAATTTGTGGTTCAGGGATTTCAAATATTTAGTGGTGTTTGGTTTTAATGTTAATCATGTGAATTAATGTGGAAATCAGATTAGATACATTTTGATTCTGAGTGATGTTTGATTGAGATTTTTTTCTGGTGGTGGTTGTGGATCCAGTTTGGTTATTTTACTGAATATTTCTTCCACTACAGGATTTACTGTTACTTATTCACAGTTTATTCACTTTTATTAATGGCATCTTTTATTTTGTTAATTATTCTACCTTTTGATACTCTTGAGAAGCACTATGTTTTTCATCTATCAATATGAAAAAAGCATTTAATACTCATACGATAAAGGCTCAAATCTTTTTTTTTTATGTAATCATTTGTATGAATGTGGTTAAGGCAAACTTTGGGTTTCATTGTGTTTTGCTCATTGTGTGAAAATGTTTTATATTGTTATTATGTAATGTAGCTATAAAGGGAAACCTACCAGAGGTTATTAGAAGTTTTGAACTTCATTCCTATTGAGACAGGTTGATAATAGAATATTTGAAATAAAACTCTTTTACTCTTCATTATGTGACTTTGCGCAGTTAAACTTGTCTAACACTTGAGGGAATCATTCACTTGCATGTTCCAGCTGTCACCCAGGAATAGAAAGGCTGCTCAACTATAAAAACAGTTGAATTTGAACTTTATTGATGCAATGTGTAAAATGTACAAATTGTTTGTACAGTAGCAGGTGATATGTAACCCCCAAAGCACAAAAGATTATTTCTCTTGTGTGCACAAGATAATATATTGTGTTATTTAAGTTATGGTCATACATGAAATAAGTAACAACCGATGCACATAAAGAAAATGTATAATATAACCTAAGAATAAGTAATGTATGTCATTGATGTCAAATTTTACATTTACTGCCTTAATTCTCAACATGCCTCATGACAAGAGTCTGAACTGAAGCATCTGTCATTTATTCATTTTCTTATTATTATTGTCCTGTGGCTTCCATACTCTTCTACAATTGTAAAACAAATATTTTTTGGTTGGTGTTGGTGACACAAAACAAGACATTTAAAGAAGTCGCCTTAAGGTTAAGGATCTTCGATGGAGATTTTCCACAATTTTCTAATATTTTCTTGACCAAACAACTAATCAATTAATCGAGAAAATAATCACAGATTAATGATAAAGACTTTAATTGTTAGTTGCAGCCATATATCTCATCACATTCCCATCAGTCTCCACAGAGTGTCTCCTTACAGCAAAAAGGTCCCAGATTCCATCCATCCTGGCCTCTAATGGGGAACCCTGTCAAGCTTCAGCATCTAATCATTAATAGATCTATGTTCCAACCATCACTCCTGATCATGAGCTTTGAGGTAGTGACTGAGAAAATGGGTAGCAGAACCGCTGCTCCCTCGTGACATATTGCTACTTTTAAAGGAGCATTTTTACTGCATTTTTGTTGTCTTAGTACTTGTACTTTGTGCAATGACAATAAAGTTGATTCTAATCTAATCTAGTGAACAGGATTGTTCAATGTGACTAACATCAGGGTTGAGATCCAAAATGATTGAGTAATATTTTGCCCTCCTTACACCTTAGCAACATGATCCCAGATAACTAGCTAAACATGGCCATAAGCTTTGTGTATGCAGTGCGTGTGTTGCAGAATGTTTTGCTTTTTATTCCAATGTTAACAAATCAGAGCAGGCACACTGCCCACATGAGCAATACGTCTCTGCAGCAACACTTCACTAGAGAGTTGAGGTCTTGCATATCTTTTCTATGTGCCATTACTAACAAAAACAGACACTATCAAAGGGACTGGGTCTGGCAACAGACTGCTGCTCTTGCTGTATTCCCACTAGGAGGGACTGGAAACAGAACAAACAACAACGCTACCAAACTCCCTCGGAAGGTAAAACCGTCTCAAGAGAAGTTTGATAACACTGTTGTTTGTGCTGTATAGGGTGGAGATGATAGCAACATAAACTCAACGGTGTTTGTCACTGATGATAATCTGGAGCAGACTGGCAGAGCGTAAGTGTCCTTTCTCTTTACAATTTGCTAACTTTAATTTATAATATTTTTATTACGTAACTTAGTGACTATCTAACAATCCTACACAATATCAGGAAGCTCTGGCTGATCACAAGGCACGGGAATATAACATAGGTAATCGTAGATCACACTAAATATTCAGGGCTAGAGATAACTTGTAGAATACACAGGAAGTGAGTATGTAAAATGTGAATGAAGTGAATGAACCTTGCCAACTGCATAATTGGGACTGTTCCTCTTAACTCTTGCTTGTGAAGTCCATTGTCAATCTAGAGCAAAAGAGATGTGGAGGCTAGAAAAAAATGAGAAGGAGGAAGATTACCGCAGGAAATGAACAACTATTTCAGTGATCAATCAGGGGAATTAGGAGTGTTTTTTTTTATTAATTTCTATGATATTATTAAAGATAAAGATATTATTTAGTACCTTTAGAGTTTCAGAATGGCTTTTTCTGAAATTTAATTACTTATATTGTTATGTTTTGTTTTGTGAATTCAGACAAAAACATCTTCAGCAATTCAATCAATCAAAATCTGTCATTCATTAAAGAACAAATGCAACATTTCTTTAACGTTATTATTGTTTTGTGGCTTCCATACTCTTCTTCAATTGAAAACAAATATGTTTGTGTTGTTCACACAAAACAAGACATTTAAAGAAATCGCCTTAAGGTACTTCTTCCACATTCACATAAGTAAAAAGACGAAAAGAACTCAGCAGAACTAACTGTTGGTACAAGAAAATGTTACAGCAAATCAGTGATCACTGAAATAAAATAGGCGACTAGTACATTTATATTCAATTTTTGGTCTGTGTGGCCTGGGAATAAGTTCATAAGCAACTAGAACAGCACTTCCATTCAACTTTTTAATTTTGCCAGGCATTTTTGGCAAGACACCCTTCTTCAGTGTGTATTGGCAAGTTCATCCCATTTTACTTTATCAAACACCTTTTCAAAGTCAGCAATAAATAAAAGCCCATTACAATTCCTCATTCACAAATTAGGCAATGCAAATTATTTGACTCAGAGGGCAGTAGTTAGATGGGTGTGGTGGAGACAAAGTATTGTTCAACACAGCACAGGTCTGTCGTGATCAGATGTTTAAACAATGTGATATAACATTGCTCAGTTACGATTTAGCTTTAAGAATTGGACTCTGGAAGGAACCATTGCATTTCAGAAGAAAAAAATGGCAGAACAAGTTTAGTATAAAATAGTTTTTCTGGTTTTGGTAACTATTTGAAGACTTTCCTTATGATTCTGTATTGTAAGGTGTTGAAGCTAATATCAAGGCTACTTGTCATAATAAAAACTTAATTAACTGCTTTGACTTTCACCCAGAAGAAAACACCATTGTGGAGAATAACGGCAATATTTAAGTGTCTCAGGTTGCAATGTCAAAACATTTTAACAATCCTGGATAGAAGTGTATAAAAAGCAAATTCCTCTGATGTTCTACAATAACCTGATTTATTTAAGTCTTCACAAATCACTTTTCTCTCTTCTACTCATTCCCTACTATGGAAACTTTGTTGGAGCAGGAACCCCGAGCCGATCCCAAGCAAGGTGATGTATCATGTGCCTAATCGTACATCTCTCTAGATGTTCATACATTTTCAGGACTCGAGAGATAAAAGAGAGAAAGGTGAAAAACAGGGAAAAGATCCAACAGCTTGTAAAATAAACAGCCTGAATCAGTGAAATTCATACACAATGACAACATCAAGATTGTGCATGTTGATTCAAGATATGTATGAAATAAAGAAAGACCAGCTTGTGACTATCCTGATACAGTATATTTATATCGCTTGTCAGATCACAGACACTAAAGAAGACAATGCCAGCAAACTTGCCTTTCGACTTTAAGAAATGGACTGTGGAGCAATTTGTGCAGTACCTTGAACAAGAAGAACTTGGACAATTGGCAAATAAATTCAAAGGTTGGTTTTCTGGTTTGGTGGATTTAATTAAAGCTAAATTATAATCTCATGGTGTAACCTAGATAAATTAGGAAGTTAGAAACTGCTTTAACTAAGGACTTTCCCTATGATTCTGTATTGTGAGGCATGGAAGCTAATATGAAGGCTACTTGTCATAATGTAATACAGGACAGCTATTAACTGCTTTCTCTTTTACACAGATAAAGACATCACTGGTGACCAACTACAAACTCTAACAGCTGACAATCTGAAGGATATGGGCATAAAGTGAGTGCCTCCCCTTGTTAAACCACCTGATTGTACAACCATCTGATTTCTTTTAGTTTTCACACCTCACTTTTCTCTCTTCAACTAATTCCCTATTATACTCTTCTGTATTTTCTTTTTTTCTTTTTTCGAGGGAACCTAATGATCGTGAGAGAATCCTGCTCTGTATCAGGAAGCTCTGGGAAGTCCAAGGCAAGGTAATTTATGTGTCTAATTATACATCACAATACATTTCCATACATTTTAAGGACTGGAGAGATAAGATAAAAAATCAAGAGCTTGTAAAATACACAACTAAAAGATTCCAAGATCAGTGAATAAACCTAATCACAAAGTCAAAATTGGGCTTGTTGTTTGGACAGCAAAGGAGACGTGGGGAAAAATAATTCAGGAATATTGACGTATGAAGTAAAGAAAAGGCTAGCTTGTGAAGCCCTCAGGAGAACTGGAGTTGGTTTACTCTTTTGGGTAATAACTGGACTGGATTTTGTTGTATGTGTTCTACAGGTGTTTAATGATCCCATCCACGGGCATATAGAGTTACACCCACTTCTTGTCAAAATCATTGACACGCCTCAGTTCCAGAGACTACGAAATATCAAGCAGCTCGGAGGGGCCTACTTTGTTTACCCTGGAGCATCCCACAACCGCTTTGAACACTCAATTGGGTATGTTTGCAGATTTATTTTTTAAATAGACACAGGTATGTGTTTAATAAAAACATGGTGCATATGTTTATAGGTATAATAGTTCAGTATATATTTCATATATACACTTTTCTATTTTTGCAACAGGATACAGTAGTAATTGTGTAATGAGTTCTTTGTCGTGTGTTCTGTATATGGTGGTAAAGGGTGGCGCATTTAGCAGGACAGCTTGGACAAGCTCTGAAAACAAAGCAGCCAGGTCTCAACATCACTGACAGAGACATCCTCTGCGTACAGATTGCTGGTCTTTGTCATGATCTCGGTGAGTGAGGCACACCTTTAGAAATTGTCAAATAAAAGTCAATGTTGATCTAATTTCAAGGGTTTCTGTAGGCACTAACAATTAAAGGCTTGTCTGAACTAACAGCTGACAATACAAACAAAGTGTGCAGTGGTCCACATGATATTGTACATTTCTGTTCTTCAGAATATTTTTCTTATTTCAGTGATGAGCTACTGCTAATATAAACTCAGCATTCCTGTAGATGTTTTAGATTAAATGTCTAACAGATAAGTCCTTTAGTGCAAAATACTTGCAGGAAATGTTGAATTCCTTTCACATTCAACATTAAATCGTATTGAATGGTAAAGTGGAAAGTTTAAAATGTATTCTTGAAAAGAACTAGTTCATATTACATGTTGTTTGACCATTTCAGAAGGAAAAAGTGTTTATAGTTGTTCCAAAGGACCATACTTGATGCAAGGTCGCAACATGATGATGATTGTTGAAATATAAAATAATGGCACAAACTTCAGACAGTCTCTCCTGTAAGGCATTCATAGTGTACACACACAACAAAGTAACTCTCTTGTTTACGCATTGACTACCAATAAAACACCCAATGCTATAGAGAGCAGTAAATCAAGATTTTATACAATGATCAAAGTCACGTTTATCACAAACAGGAAACAGTTCATCTTTTAAGAAAATTCTGTTGAAATTTGTGCTGATTTCAAATGGAAACTTGGCTAGAATTTTAATCTAACACAGCTGAGTTTATTAAAACAGTTAAACTTGGAGGAAATGTTGAATTTGCATTATCAGCGAACAATAATGAAAGCAAATGGGAGAACATTACGAAACATGATCAAATGTACTTGAATAAGAGGTAAAGGCCTGCCTTTAATACAAACCTGTTTAAAATAATAACAATAAGATAAAATCACAAATGGCACATTTTACAGTTCACACACAATCACCTTTAGATTAACTTCAATTTATTTCTCCATATCTAGGACATGGGCCATTTTCCCATCTGTTTGATGCAATGTTCATCCCTAGAGCACGTCCAGGCAAGGAGTGGAAGGTAAGAAACAATTATTTCTGTTGTTCATGACATATAACATGACAAAGGAAAACACAGTCACGAGCTGCATTAAGGAAGCAAATCAGTTAGATATAAATGGTAACTAATTAGCAAAGACACAAACAACAAGTCAGTGCTTAGTTGTTAAGCTGCAAGCAAAAAAGCCAACATAATGGCGGATCATTTATTTGTGAGCCCAACTGAACACTGAGATACGGTTTAAAAAAACAAATCATCTGATTTCATCTCAGGCATAATGGATAATAATGGCATAATGCAGTCTCTTTAGGTACGGACATCTTCATGGTTATTTTCTCAGACAGGAGAGAAACAGTAGACATAGGCTGAGTAGCACTAACTGTGACTAGTGAACTGATCTTAATGTGTAGAATTTGTTGCAGTCCCCTTACTTTGAAAACATAAAGACCAGGTGAGATGAAAAATGTCATTTTAACCCTTTAAGTATGCATCCTCCGTTATATTGTACCCCTATTTAAGACTACATGCCAAAATCATCGTTTCTTACTGTAAAACAAAATGTGACACATGCTTGATAAGTATGAACTAACTGATTTCAACCAACAATATCATGACATTCACCTGTCAATAAAGCTTCAACTTTTAGTGACACAGAGCGAGATTCATGAGTTAGCTAGCTAGCAAAAGCATGGCTAGCTACTGGAGCCGAGTGATTCTGGGACCTCACTGAAAGTGAATCATATTTGATTTGTTCCTGTTCTCACTTTGAATTCTGGTATTAATATATTAATGAGTCTGTTTCTGTTGCAGCATGAAAGGGCTTCTCTGGACATGTTTGAACACCTGGTGAAAAGTAATAAGCTGGATGGTGAGATGAGGAAGTATGGCCTGAACCCAGATGATGATCTGGACTTCATCATGAAGATGATTGACAAAGACCAGGAAACTAGCTTGAACTTGTGTGATATCAGTCAGTATCAATATTGCTACAACAACCAATGTCTAATGCCACAATTGTCTGTAATCTCCACAGTGGCTACATAAACAAAAAGACCATCCAGAAGACCATCCAGAAGACCATCCAAAAGACCTTCGAGAAGACAAGTCCTTCCTCTATGAAATCGTGTCCAACAAAACAAACGGCATTGATGTGGACAAGTTTGACTACTTTGCCAGGTGGGACTTGTTTAACAGCGACTGTGGAACAATTTACTTTTTGATGTAGAATGATGAACTTTGTAGGGTTTGCTATGATAAATCACAGCGGCCCCATTTGTTGGTACAACAGTGGTTTAACTGTATTAGTGTAATCAATTTATTTTGGTTATCAAAGTTTAGAATTATCAAAAGATAATAGAAAATGACTTTAATTAATATTAAAGATCCTCGGGGCACCACCCTTAAATAAGGGAATGATAGCCAATATTTGATTGATAAGTCTCATAAAAATACACTAAATTATTAATTTAGAAATCAGATTAATAATTCTAACTACAAGTTTTAATAATTAACTACAACCACAATCCCTATTAATAATTACAGTGGAAGCCTTTGGAGTTCTGCATAGAAGAGGTTGGTATCACTCACTCTTGTACGAAATTAAATAGGCCAGCATGTATAAACACAAACATTTATTAAAGGAACAATAAACGCAATCAGATCAAAATACACAATGTGCAATCTAACTTAGCGGGAGGGTTTGAGTTTGAGTTGCATGCAAAGACGGTGTCTGTGTGAAGCATTACATTAAACTACCATCACTTTAGCAATGTCTCAGAGAATACAGTTACTACAGTAACCTGCGTTAATCAAATCAACAACACAATACAATAACCACAATAACCCGAATAAAAACACATTAGTAACATCAACAGTAATTAAAGTCCTTGTTCAGCCGTTAACTCTGTTAAGTTATCTGTTTATGCCCAGTACGTTACCGACAGTCCAACGGAGGAAGAAGAAGAAGAGTTGCGGGTGTGCTGCGTGGATCAGCTGATCAGATTCTGGTTCTGAAGTCCAAACAGTCTCTGATGTCCGCTGGTGCAGGTAGCAAGAAAAAAGGCGTTTCGCTCGTTGCTCTGCAGAGTTAAGGACTTGGCGTTAACGTCGCGTTGCTCCGGTAAAGTCCGACTTTCTCTTTAAAGCTGCAGATGTTGACTCCCGTTAGCGGTGCGCTGCCCAGGGATCGCAGGAAGAAGCTCTTGTGCCGTACTATAATCCTTAGACGTGCGTCGGCGGTGGGACGGGCCGCACCGAGGTCCTAAACGTATCACCCGGTGTGGGCGAGCGAGTGAGCGGCGAGAGCGAAGAGAGAGAAAAGAGAGAAGAGAGAGAAAAGAGAGAAGAGAGAGAAGAGAGAGAAGAGAGAGAGTAACTCCGTGTCAGGAGTTTTATCACCTGGACATCGCGCGTCATCAAGCTGCATGAGGTTACGGTCACAGGAAGTGACAGGAAGTGACCCGTCACAATAAAAGTCCAGTTAACCACATGAACGAGCTCACATTTTAAGGTCCCCTTTGAGCCGACAACTTGTATTATTTCCCCAGAACAATTACAATAAATAGGAACTAAAAGGCAGATCTTCACAGCTTGGTACCAACTGGAGGAACTTGCAGTGATCATATTTGATGAGAAGAGATGTAGGCTTTCCAAAAGATCCTCATAGAAATAAATAAATAACCTTATTTAAAAAAAATTCTAACTACAAAATTATAGTGTTGGGAGATTTTAACATTGATTGGCTAACTAAAGCTTTTCATTATTTAAATGAGTTTTTTCATGAGTCTATTCAACCCTGTGCTCTATAAATCCCAACTGCAACAATAATATTATTAGGCCCAATATTTTTTTTCAGAGCAAGAAATTAAAAACATTTGGGCACAGTGACAGCATGTAAAATAGAAACACAAAGACAAGATTTGACATAAAAGGCCACCCCACCACTCCTTTAGTTAGTCAGAGGAGCAGAATTACTTAATGTCTTCTGGCATAGGGAAGATATAAATAAGATTATTAAAATTAATATTAGTGCGTCTGGTTCACCATCTACATGGCCCACAGACTGTGATAACACGAGTTTGAGGCTGAAGTTCTGTCCAGAAGGGGGGGCCTGGTAAAATAAGATAGGACAAGAAGGCCGAAACAGTGACGAGGTGTAATGACCATTTGCCCAGATGTGGGAGGGGAGTCAGTTACACTGGACATTGTTTGGAACTTTCTCCAGGTTGCTTTTGCTGATTAGACTCAATAAGACCATTTTCTTCACTCTGTTCTATCTTAGGGACTGCTACCACCTGGGCGTCCAGATCAACTTTGACTATCGTCGCTTCTTAAAGTTTGCCAGGGTGTGTGAGGTGGATGGCCGGAAGCACATCTGTGTTAGAGACAAGGTGCAGACAATGTTACTCCTGCTTTTTATCAGACTGTAAACAGATTTGTTCCGACTAAACTATAGGCAATACTCTCAACAGGAGGAGGATAATATGTCTGAAATGTTCCACACCAGGCTCTGTCTCCACAGAAGAGCCTACCAGCACAAAGTGACCAAGATCATAGAGACTATGTCAGTACTTACCCTTCTCTACTTTTTCTACTTTTCAAGCAGCTTTTCTGAAGAATGATGCATTGTATTCTTGTGATGTTTTTAGTACTTTTGTTTTACAATGAAATGGAAGGATTAATTAAAAATTGTTCCAGTGAGAATAACATCTCTGGTAGTTTGGTGACATTTTGTGCATTTCATTTTTAAAAGTAAACATATCACTTTTAAAAATGATTCATGATTAATAATGATTAATGATGATGATTAATAATGATTAATGATGATGATTAATAATGATTATCCAGGATCACAGATGCTTTTTTAAAAGCAGACGGACACATCTGGATTGAAGGCTCAGGAGGGAACACGTTCACTCTCTCCACAGCCATTGATGACATGGAAGCCTACACTAAGCTGACAGGTCTGTAGATAGCACTGGGACAAATCTGATTCTCTAGCTGTAAGAATATGTGTTTGTTTGGTAAATCTTTATAATAAAAATCATAAGCAATTGTAAAATATGTCATTACAATCGCAATACGATTTTTTAATTAATTAATTCACATTTTATTTAGCTGATTTTCTGAAGTTTGGTTAAAATCTGTGCTATATTTTGATGAAAACCAAGCTACTAACAGTTAGGCTACCTAGCTTATTATTGAGAAACTAACAGGTATATTGCATTAAGAGGTAATAAGTTTTGTTGAAGTTGTTGGAGTTTAAAACTCATGTAAACGCTATCAAATCTAATAAAGAGCAGGACAGTTGTAAACATTACCCTAGAATTTGACATAGCTTATCATGCTAATATGCATATAAACACAATGGTTAATCCATTTCCTTCACATTTTCTGAGGTTTTTGAAAATCCTAAACTGGGTATTGCTTCTACTATTGTCTCATGCACAAAGCAGGTGCAGAACTCCAAAACCTGACAGACTTGCTGTGTCCACTTATTTACACTTACACGGTTTCTGTTTGGTGGAGTTCAGCAAATGTTCAATTGAGAGTAGAAGCAACTTGCTGAAGTTTTGAAGGCATCTGTTTCTGATTGAAACATATTTTAAATGACAAATGACAACGGGTGCTGTAAAGGTTGTAATGAATGATAAATGTACACGCCAGATTGATACAGCTCTTCACAAGCATGCTTAAATAAAGTTAATTTAATTTTTTCCATATTTAAAAACAAATGAATGAGGTAAAGTAATCTTGTCCCAGTTATACAGTCTCTCAGGTAACCATGTCAGTTCTGAATTTGTGAAACACTATGAATGATTTTGTGACCATGTCTTTGGTTTGGTTTAATTCACTGATCTTCCACTCTGTTTATCTGTTTCTCTGTAGATTCTGTGTTTGAACAAATACTCAACTGTTCATCTCGCGCACCCCAGGAGCTGAAGGATGCAAGAGACATTCTACAGAGGATCATCAATCGAGACCTCTACAGGTTTCTGGGTGAAACGCTGTTTGAGGATCCCACTGAGGTTTCTACTAATGTCGTTGTGTGCCTTTATTGCATTACACTGTCTGTCACATCATCTATTTCTCTGTTATAATGAAGTTGGATGTTATACTCCTTTTGTGTGCACATTCCTTGTTTCTGTTTTCTCTATCTTTTTCTCATTGCTTATATGGATATTGTGCTTGGATTTCACTTGGACTACAACACATTCCTAACAGTTACAATTTCTAGAAATTTAATTTAGAGGATGTGATAGCAGTGTGAGCAAAATCATAGAAAGGAACTTACTCACTTACTGCATCTACACTGAGCTGGCAGTTTTTTGTGTGAAAATGACTCACATTCACACTCCCATACAGGTCATATATTTCATAGAAACTTCTGCCCACAGGTAAACAGTAGAAAAGGCAAAATCTCTTCTTCTTTATCTTCTTTTTAGTTGGCAAACAACAAAATTGCACATCACAGCCAACACCTGGTGATGTGTTGGACAGACAGCCCAGCTGACAAATACTCCTTGTGATGCTGTTTTAATGCAGCCAATATTGTTGTCACTTAATATTTTCCTGTACTGGAATAAGTATGACATAAATATTACACCTCTGTGGCTCCGGAGGTAGAGCAGGGTGGATGATTTGATCCTCAGCTCCTCCTGTCAATATGTCAAAGTGACCTTGAGAAAGACTTTGAATCTGAAAGCCCTTGTTAGCCGTGTTAAGATCAAAAAGCTCTATGTACACTGCACAAAATTATAAACGCAACACTTTTGTTTTTGCATTTTCGAGGGGCCTTTTATTGTGGCCAGCCTAAGGCACACCTGTGCAATACCCATGCTGTCTGATCAACATCTTGATATGCCATATCTGTGAGGTGGATGGATTATCTCGGCAAAGGAGAAGTGCTCACTAACACAGATTTTGACAGATTTGTGAACAATATTTGGGAGAAATACTTTTGTGTACATAGAGAAAGTCTTAGATCTTTGAGTTCAGCTCATGATGAATGGGGCAAAAACAAAAGTGTTGCGTTTTTAATTTTGTTCAGTGTAATGTGCATGTTATTTCCAAGCTGCAGTGCACATACAATCACAATTTTATGATCATGAGATCTAGTCAAACACACAAACACACACACACACACAAACTCCCTGACTGAATAAAACTGCACAGATTTTCCTCACACACACTACAAGATTTAAATACTCTGTAGAAAGTTTTAGAATAGCTCCACGAATTCTGTTTTAGTGTGGACAAAGAGCCAAAACCAAGAAACAAAGATTTAAATGTAACTGCTTAATGCAGATGTAGTCCTACAGTGTGTTGTTAAGATGCAATAAATCTCAAACCTCTTGTCCTACCACTCTCACCCTTTCTCCTCCCTTCCTAGGAAAAAATTCTTGCTTGTAGAAGGAAATTGGCTGAAGCTCTCGGTGGCGGGCTGACCGAATATGACTTTGAGATTGTGGTGAGTTTTCAGTCTAAAACTTCACTTTTCTTTAAATGTTTATCTTAATTATCAGTTAATTTGTAAGATGTTGACTTCCTCCGCTCTAGCATAATTTTATTTGTGAATATGAAAACAAGCTTCTCTCCCACATTTCTCTATTAGACCATTAAAATGGTCAAAAACTTAGGAGGCAACAAAATCAAACATTTTCTTAACTTTACTAACACACACACACACACACAAACACACACACACACACACACACACACTCCCTGACTGACAAAAACTGAACAGATTTTTCTCACACACAATAAATCTCAAACCTCTTGTCCTCCCACTTCTCACCCTTTCTCCTCCCTTCCTAGAAAAAAGGAAAAAATCCAGGTTGGAAAAAAAATTGATGGAACTTCTTGATGACGGGTTGAAAGAACATGACTTTGGGATTATGGTGAGTTTTCAGTCTAAAACTTCCCTTTTCTTTAAATGTTTATCTTAATTATCAATTGATTTGTAAGATGTTGTCTTCCTCCATTTTAGCATAATTTTATTTGCGAATAGGAAAACAAACTTCTCTCCCACATTTCTCTGTTAGACCATTGAAATGGTCAAAAAACTTAGGAGGCAACAAAAACATTTTCTTAATCATCATCAATGATCATGAGATCTAGTCAAACACACACACACACACACACACACACACACACACACACACACACACACACACACACACACACACACACACACACACACAAACTCCCAGACTGACAAAAACTGCACAGATTTTCCTCACAAACACTACAAGATTTAAAATTTTGGAATAGCTCCACGAATTGTTTTAGTGTGGACAAAGAGCCAAAACCGAGAAACAAAGATTTAAATGTAACTGCTTCATGCGGATGTAGTCCTACAGTGTGTTGTTAAGACTTGTGCAGTGCCCGTATGAAGTATGTATTGCTATAGAAAAGTGGGAGGTTAAGTAGCTTTTTCATGGATGGCCAAATGAGGTTGTGTTTGAAGGGGGGACGTCAGGGACATTTAGGTTTGTTGTGAAATGTGTAGATTGATAACTATTGTGTTTTCATATAATTTGGCTTTTAGCAAGGACACTGTTGGGAGTTGAACCCCATTCCACTAATGTGAAAGTACCACACCTCATGGTCAGCGCATATAAATTCTGAAAGAACAAAGTGAACTACGAGAGAGAGAGAGAGAGAGAGAGAGAGAGAGAGAGAGAGAGAGAGAGAGAGAGAGAGCAATGGCAGTAAGGGTTTCCACATAAAAAATTTTTTTTTGAAACTACCAAAATAGTGTGAAGGGATAAGCCGACGGCGTGGAGCGAGGGCGTGTCGGTCAGACAGTGTGATAACTGCACAGGTCTCTCACTCAACTTAATAAAGAGAAATGTCCCACAAAGCAACGTTACAGGACCAAACAACAGTAACGTAGTAACTGTAACCAGAGCCCGTCTACGGAGAGCCTGGCCACTCTCTATTAAGTCCCATTGTACCGAATTTTGGTTGCAGTTCCACCAGAGTTCCACGGGGGGCGATCGCCCGTCAGTGCAGAATGAATGGGAGCAGATGGAGCTAGACGGCTAAATTTGTCTCTTTCACCTGACTGTCGTTGAGAAATCTCAGATTTGATTGTAGTTTTTGCAAGTTCAACATGGGTTATAGGTCGAAAGTTGAATGAACGAGTACTTATGTCCTTTCGATTTCTTAAAGGACGAGTTGTTGTTGCCCATAACACGCTAGCATTCTCCTAATGAACGCTGATTGGTCAGTGAAGGACTGATTACGACCAGAGATCCCGCTTGATGGCATCGTGGCATCCGAAGCGGGACCAGAATGTTAAGGCGGATTTTTTTGCCCAAGTTCTTTTTTTTAACACAGCAACTTTTTTTTGGGTTGCTGGTACTTTTATCTGCCTATCGTTATGTCTGTGTTGTCGATGCCTCGAGAGAAAAGGAAGTGCCGAGCGCGGAAGCACAAAGTGACTCAAGGCTTGCCGTAAAGCGGTATCTCTGGCTGTACGATGTGTATGACGTCATTGACATTTTAAAAGACTTTTTAAAGCAAATAAGTGACTCTAAAAAATCTAACACCCAGCAATGTGTAATTTCTTTGCATCCTCTTTCGAATGCAACATTCAAATTACTAGACAAAAAATTATATCCTGAGAAAAGTGGATTTTGAGGGTATAGCTCCATAGACCTCCATTCATTCTGCACTCATCCTGTGAGCGCCCCCACATGGAGCCAGAGTGGAACTGCAACAGTTCAGAACCCGGAAGTTTACCGAGAGTGGAACATCTCCCCTTATTAGACATTCTCTGCTGTAACTGTCTTTGGCAACTTACATGAGGAAAAAAAATACCACAGCTGTACATGGAGTAGCGTCTGTCCTCCTGTCTGTCCTCCCGCCTGTCCTACCGACTCTTCCGTCACATTTCTGCCCGAAAAACTCACAGAGTGTTTGTGATCAAAAATCACCGCGACCGCCAGCCCTCCGGACCGAGACATCAGTTTGGGCTCTGCAGTGATTGGCTCTGGTGCGCACGTGGCTACGGTGGCTGTCGTTGACAATGCTAGCGGAATTCGGAAATAATTTATGAAACAATAATTTATTAACGGTATCTTTATAGTTCACACAAAGCTGACGTTGCACACCCTTAAACCACACAGCAGCCATGTTGAAACTCTCAGGTCAGTCTGATCCTGATCTGCAGAGATATTTGAGCCACACAAACACATGCACACACACACACAGACAGACAGACAGACAGACATTTCTTGCTTCATAGATAGATAGATAGATAGATAGATGCAATAAATATCTAAAAACCTCTTGTCCTCCCACTTCTCACCCTTTCTCCTCCCTTCCTAGGAAAAAATACCTACTTGGAAAAGGAAATTGGTTGAAGCTCTCGATGACAGGCTGACCGAAGATGACTTTGAGATTGTGGTGAGTTTTCAGTCTAAAACTTCACTTTTCTTTAAATGTTCATCTTAATTATCAGTTAATTTGTAAGATGTTGTCTTCCTCCATTTTAGCATAATTTTATTTGAGAATATGAAAACAAGCTTCTCTCCCGCATTTCTCTGTTTCTTGAAATGGTCAAAAACTTAGGAGGCAAACAAAAACATTTTCTTTACTTTACTAACACACACACACACACACACACACACACACAAACACAAACTCCCTGACTGACAAAAACTGCACAGATTTTCCTCACACACACTACAAGATTGAAACACTCTGTAGAAAGTTTTAGAAAAGATCCATGAATTCTGTTTTAGTGTGGACAAAGAGCTAAAACCAAAAACAAAGATTTAAATGTAAATGCTTAATGCAGATGTAGTCCTACAGTGTGTTGTTAAGATGCAATAAATCTCAAACCTCTTGTCCTCCCACTTCTCACCCTTTCTCCTCCCTTCCTAGAAAAAAGGAAAAAATCCAGGTTGGAAAAAAAAATTGATGGAACTTCTTGATGACGGGTTGAAAGAACATGACTTTGAGATTGTGGTGAGTTTTCAGTCTAAAACTTCCCTTTTCTTTAAATGTTTATCTTAATTATCAATTGATTTGTAAGATGTTGTCTTCCTCCATTTTAGCATAATTTTATTTGAGAATATGAAAACAAGCTTCTCTCCCGCATTTCTCTGTTAGACCATTGAAATGGTCAAAAACTTAGGAGGCAACAAAAACATTTTCTTTACTTTACTAATACACACACACAGACACACACCCACACACACACACACAAACCCCGACTGACAAAAACTGCACAGATTTTTCTCACACACACTACAAGATTTGAATACTCTGTAGAAAATTTTAGAATAGCTCCACGAATTCTGTTTTAGTGTGGACAAAGAGCCAAAACCGAGAAACAAAGATTTAAATGTAACTGCTTCATGCGGATGTAGTCCTACAGTGTGTTGTTAAGATGCAATAAATCTCAAACCTCTTGTCCTACCACTTCTCACCCTTTCTCCTCCCTTCCTAGGAAAAAATTCTTGCTTGTAGAAGGAAATTGGCTGAAGCTCTCGGTGGCGGGCTGACCGAATATGACTTTGAGATTGTGGTGAGTTTTCAGTCTAAAACTTCACTTTTCTTTAAATGTTTATCTTAATTATCAGTTAATTTGTAAGATGTTGACTTCCTCCATTTTAGCATAATTTTATTTGTGAATATGAAAACAAGCTTCTCTCCCACATTTCTCTGTTAGACCATTAAAATGGTCAAAAACTTAGGAGGCAACAAAAACATTTTCTTAACTTTACTAACACACACACACACACACACACACACAGACACACACACACACACACACACACACACACACACACACACACTCCCTGACTGACAAAAACTGAACAGATTTTTCTCACACACAATAAATCTCAAACCTCTTGTCCTCCCACTTCTCACCCTTTCGCCTCCCTTCCTAGAAAAAAGGAAAAAATCCAGGTTGGAAAGAAAGATTGATGAAACTTCTTGATGACAGGTTGAAAGAACATGACTTTGAGATTGTGGTGAGTTTTCAGTCTAAAACTTCCCTTTTCTTTAAATGTTTATCTTAATTATCAGTTAATTTGTAAGATGTTGTCTTCCTCCATTTTAGCATAATTTTATTTGTGAATATGAAAACAAGCTTCTCTCCCGCATTTCTCTGTTAGACCATTGAAATGGTCAAAAACTTAGGAGGCAACAAAAACATTTTCTTTACTTTACTAATACACACACACAGACACACACACAGACACACACACACACACACACACACACACACACAAACCCCGACTGATAAAAACTGCACAGATTTTCCTCACACACACTACAAGATTTAAACACTCTGTAGAAAGTTTTAGAAAAGAACCATGAATTCTGTTTTAGTGTGGACAAAGAGCTAAAACCAAAAACAAAGATTTAAATGTAACTGCTTAATGCAGATGTAGTCCTACAGTGTGTTGTTAAGACTTGTGCAGTGCCCGTATGAAGTTTGTATTGCTATAGAAAAGTGGGAGGTTAAGTAGCTTTTTCATGGATGGCCAAATGAGGTTGTGTTTGAAGGGGGGACGTCAGGGACATTTAGGTTTGTTGTGAAATGTGTAGATTGATAACTATTGTGTTTTCATATAATTTGACTTTTAGCAAGGACACTGTTGGGAGTTGAACCCCATTCCACTAATGTGAAAGTACCACACCTCATGGTCAGCGCATATAAATTCTGAAAGAACAAAGTGAACTACGAGAGAGAGAGAGAGAGAGAGAGAGAGAGAGAGAGAGAGAGAGAGAGAGAGAGAGAAAGAGAGAGAGAGAGAGAGAGAGAGAGAGAGAGAGAGAGAGAGCAATGGCAGTAAGGGTTTCCACATGAAATTTTTTTTTTTGAAACTACCAAAATAGTGTGAAGGGATAAGCCGACGGCGTGGAGCGAGGGCGTGTCGGTCAGACAGTGTGATAACTGCACAGGTCTCTCACTCAACTTAATAAAAAGAAATGTCCCACAAAGCAACGTTACAGGACCAAACAACAGTAACGTAGTAACTGTAACCAGAGCCCGTCTATGGAGAGCCTGGCCACTCTCTATTAAGTCCCATAATACCGAATCTTGGTTGCAGTTCCACCAGAGTTCCACTGGGGGCGATCGCCCATTAGAGCAGAATGAATGGGAGTAGATGGAGCTAGACGGCTAAATTTGTCTCTTTTACCTAATTCTCGTTGAGAAATCTCAGATTTGATTGTAGTTTTTGCAAGTTCAACATGGGTTATAGGTCGAAAGTTGAATGAACGAGTACTTATGTCCTTTCGATTTCTTACAGGACGAGTTGTTGTTGCCCATAACACGCTAGCATTCTCCTAATGAACGCTGATTGGTCAGTGAAGGACTGATTACGACCAGAGATCCCGCTTGATGGCATCGTGGCATCCGAAGCGGGACCAGAATGTTAAGGCGGATTTTTTTGCCCAAGTTCTTTTTTTTTAACACAGCAACTTTTTTTGGGGTTGCTGGTACTTTTATCTGCCTATCGTTATGTCTGTGTTGTCGATGCCTCGAGAGAAAAGGAAGTGCCGAGCGCGTAAGCACAAGGTGACTCAAGGCTTGCCGTAAAGCGGTATCTCTGGCTGTACAATGTGTATGACGTCATTGACATTTTAAAAGACTTTTTAAAGCAAATAAGTGACTCTAAAAAATCTAACACCCAGCAATGTGTAATTTCTCTGCATCCTCTTTCGAATGCAACATTCAAATTACTAGACAAAAAATTATATCCTGAGAAAAGTGGATTTTGAGGGTATAGCTCCATAGACCTCCATTCATTCTGCACTCATCCTGTGAGCGCCCCCACATGGAGCCAGAATGGAACTGCAACAGTTCAGAACCCGGAAGTTTACCGAGAGTGGAACTTCTCCCCTTATTAGACATTCTCTGCTGTAACTGTCTTTGGCAACTTACATGAGAAAAAAAAATACCACAGCTGTACATGGAGTAGCGTCTGTCCTCCCGCCTGTCCTACCGACTCTTCCGTCACATTTCTGAGACATCAGTTTGGGCTCTGCAGTGATTGGCTCTGGTGCGCACGTGGCTACGGTGGCTGTCGTTGACAATGCTAGCATAATTCGGAAATAATTTATGAAACAATTTATTAACGGTATCTTTATAGTTCAAACAAAGCCGACGTTGCACACCCTTAAACCACACAGCAGCCATGTTGAAACGAGCCACACACACATGCGCACACACACACACAGATTTCTAGATTTCTAGATAGATAGATAGATAGATAGATAGATATCAAACCTTGTGTCCCTCCCACTTCTCACCCTTTCTCCTCCCTTCCTAGGAAATAATTCCTGCTTGGAAAAAGGAATTGGCTGAAGCTCTCGGTCTGACCGAAGATGACTTTGTGATTGTGGTGAGTTTTCAGTCTAAAACTTCTCTTTTCTTTAAATGTTTATCTTAATTATCAGTTAATTTGTAAGATGTTGTCTTCCTCCGTTTTAGCATAATTTTATTTGTGAATATGAAAACAAGCTTCTCTCCCGCATTTCTCTGTTAGACCATTGAAATGGTCAAAAACTTAGGAGGCAACAAAAACATTTTCTTAACTTTACTAACACACACACACACACACACACACACACACACACACAAACTCACTGACTGACAAAAACTGCACAGATTTTCCTCACACACACTACAAGATTTAAATACTCTGTAGAAAGTTTTAGAAAAGATCCATGAATTCTGTTTTAGTGTGGACAAAGAGCTAAAACCAAAAACAAAGATTTAAATGTAACTGCTTAATGCAGATGTAGTCCTACAGTGTGTTGTTAAGATGCAATAAATCTCAAACCTCTTGTCCTCCCACTTCTCACCCTTTCTCCTCCCTTCCTAGAAAAAAGGAAAAAAACCTGGTTGGAAAAATAAATTGGCTGAAGCTCTCGGGCTGGCCAAAGATGACTTTGAGATTGTGGTGAGTTTTCAGTCTAAAACTTTTCTTTAAATGTTTATCTTAATTATCAATTGATTTGTAAGATGTTGTCTTCCTCCATTTTAGCATAATTTTATTTGTGAATATGAAAACAAGCTTCTCTCCCGCATTTCTCTGTTAGACCATTGAAATGGTCAAAAACTTAGGAGGCAACAAAAACATTTTCTTAACTTTACTAACACACACACACACACACACACACACACACACACACACAAACTCCCTGACTGAATAAAACTGCACAGATTTTCCTCACACACACTACAAGATTTAAATACTCTGTAGAAAGTTTTGGAATAGCTCCACGAATTCTGTTTTAGTGTGGACAAAGAGCCAAAACCAAAAACAAAGATTAAAATGTAACTGCTGAATGCGACTGTAGTCCTACATTGTGTTGTTAAGATGCAATAAATCTCAAACCTATTGTCCTCCCACTTCTCACCCTTTCTCCTCCCTTCCTAGGAAAACATTTCTGCTAGGAAAAAGGAATTGGCTGAAGCTCTCGGGCTGACCGAAGATGACTTTGAGATTGTGGTGAGTTTTCAGTCTAAAACTTCTCTTTTCTTTAAATGTTTATCTTAATTATCAGTTAATTTGTAAGATGTTGTCTTCCTCCATTTTAGTGTAATTTTATTTGTGAATATGAAAACAAGCTTCTCTCCCGCATTTCTCTGTTAGACCATTGAAATGGTCAAAAACTTAGGAGGCAACAAAAACATTTTCTTAACTTTACTAACACACACACACAAACACAAACTCCCTGACTGACAAAAACTGCACAGATTTTCCTCACACACACTACAACATTTAAACACTCTGTAGAAAGTTTTAGAAAAGATCCATGAATTCTGTTTTAGTGTGGACAAAGAGCCAAAACCAAAAAACAAAGATTAAAATGTAACTGCTTAATGCGACTGTAGTCCTACAGTGTGTTGTTAAGATGCAATAAATCTCAAACCTCTTGTCCTCCCACTTCTCACCCTTTCTCCTCCCTTCCTAGAAAAAAGGAAAAAATCCTGGTTGGAAAGAGGAATTGATGAAAGTTCTTCATAACGGGCTGACCAAAGATGACTTTGAGATTGTGGTGAGTTTTCAGTCTAAAACTTTTCTTTAAATGTTTATCTTAATTATCAGTTAATTTGTAAGATGTTGTCTTCCTCCATTTTAGCATAATTTTATTTGTGAATATGAAAACAAGCTTCTGTAACCCTTTTAGGTGGAGCTACAAAATATATAAGAAGCTGTAGTGAACAAATTTGATATTTTTCTATGGCTAGTGAGATCAGAAGCTCTAGATACGACTACAGAGCCAAGGATGAACCAAACAACACCCAGGAACAACTCAGATACTCTCCTTTGAGAAAGAACTACTCTCCCCATTTAATAAAAAAAACAGGGAAGGATGAATAGAAAACACAGTTATACAGTATACATTGTATTATACAATTCTTACCCGGGTAAGTATAAAAAGAAAAAAGAATTCACAGCTGTATCATTAGTGTTTTGGATTCAATGTTCAATTTAACCCCTTCCACTCAATCACTTAGTCCTTGCAGCAGATAATACTGCTCAGTCCACTGGAAAAGTGGCAACTGTTTGTCCTACCGCACTGTTGAATGCGTTGACGGTGTGTGTGGAAGCAACGTTTCTGGGGTTCAGGGTTCCAATCTTCTGCATGCAATCGAGTCTCTAATTCTTTTCCATTGGGCCGTAGTTTGCCATCAAACATCCAAGCTCCATTTCCAGGTAGGTCGGGAACTCTCGGGATCCACAAAAAACCTGACCTATTGTGAATAAGGTCAGAACATTCAAGCTCCTAATCAGTACACCACATAAAAGTTAGAATACAACTTCTAATTTCCCAGATTATTCTCTAAATTACCAGAGAATAACTCATGAAACATTGCAAATGGGTTTCACAATTATTAAAGATCAACTTATGTAATAATAAAATCAAAATATTAGAGAATTAAGGTTTCTGAAATAACCTCTCAAAATTAATTATAAACCAAATATTTCCTCTTTCAATTGGCATAAAATAATAACAATATAATAAAAGGAAAACACATGCTGTGTGCACCCTCTGCCCTGCAACAGCAGCCTACAGTGGAACCTACAAAATAATTTAAGTGCAGCTTAAGGCCCTTTAAGTGCACAGTAAGGGCAGTTAAACAACAACAAAATTATCTAGTGTGCACAATTAGCAAAGTGCAGATTTGCTTAAAAAGCACAAATAAAGGTCCTTAAATCTACACAAATAACCATACAGCATATAACAGTTGTGCAAGGGTTAAATACATACACAAAACACATATTACACTGGACCAATTTAGATTTAACTTTCAAATTAACAAAGCTAACATATTTAGCATAAGTGAATGGCATTACCATAGCGTTTTGTTAGCGTTAGTGGCTAGCACATTAGCGGCTAGCGATTAGCAAAACATCTCTCAACAATGCGTTTTTCCTCGTCTAGTGAGGACAGGTCCTTCTCGCCGTTCTCTCACAGAATTGCGGTGAAGTTATCCAGCCGGGTTTTTTTTTAATCAATTTTAATCAATTTTTATAGTTTTTCTGTCTTTGTCTCATGTGCTGTGTGTCTCGATGGTTGCTCTCGCTCCTCACTTCTCAAGAGAAGGAAACCCCACGTGTGTAGGTCAACTAGCTGACACCTGATTGGTCAGATGAGCCAGCATCTCGACATGCAAAAGGCTAATGAAACAAACAGGAAGTAGAATGTAACTGCTTAATGCGACTGTAGTCCTACAGTGTGTTGTTAAGATGCAATAAATCTCAAACCTCTTGTCCTCCCACTTCTCACCCTTTCTCCTCCCTTCCTAGGAAAACATTCCTGCTTGGAAAAGGAAATTGGCTGAAGCTCTCAGGCTGACCGAGGGTGACTTTGAGATTACAGTGAGTTTTCAGTCTAAAACTTCACTTTTCTTTAAATGTTTTTCTTAATTATCAGTTAATTTGTAAGATGTTGTCTTCCTCCATTTTAGTGTAATTTTATTTGAGAATATGAAAACAAGCTTCTCTCCCACATTTCTCTGTTAGACCATTGAAATGGACTATGGGAAGAAACGCGAGGACCCCATCGATCACTTATATTTCTACAGCAAGCACAACACTACCCGCGCATTCAAGAGGAAGGTCAGAACTAAAACGATGATGACAACAGTTTTAATTTTAGTCTTCCTTTGCATTACATCTCTCTGTTGTCATTATTCTGAAATGTATGCTGCTTTCAGCGTTGTCAGGTGTCCAGGATTCGCCCAACGTGCTTTTCTGAGCGGCTGGTCAGGTTTGTCTGTAAGAAGACTGATCTGAAGGCTGATCCGAAGACTGACGAGGAAAAGTTTAAAGAGTGGTGCAGGGGAAAGGGCTTTCCAGAGTATCAGGTAATCTTTATAAATAAGCTGTTAAATATATGATCTTGTAGATATTATGTGGGAGTTTGTGCAGCCTAGGGCTGTAGCAAGTGATAACTTTCATTATTGTTTAATATACCAAATATTTTCTTGATTAATTGACAAATATAGTTTGGTTTATAGATGTAACAATTTCCTTAAGCCCAAGGGGGTGTCTTATAAAAGCAGTCAGAAAACTCAAAAATTATTGATTTACTTAAACATAAGACAGAAAAACAGCAAAGCTGGATCTAGGCAACATTTTTGCTTGAAAAATGACTTTTAACTATAATTATAATTGTTTATCAAAATAGTTGCCCAACTTCAGTTATGCATCTCTCACTCTGAACTGAACTGCTCTTGGTAATATTGATGCACTTGTCTGTGCAGGATGACAACAATTAATCTGAGCCTTTGGAAGATGGACATCAAAACTGAAAACAAGCAAACACTCCCTGGTACTCATTGGTTCATGATTGAAAATGATTTAAATATTATATAAGGTGAGTATGTTAATGAGCACAGAGTAGTTATTGACACCGTCTCTCTCTTCTTTATAAATGAAGAAGCATTTGTATATTCAGGCCCTGTACTCTGGTCTTTTAGAGGCCTGATCAATATTATACATGTATCTTTTGTTCAGTTTGATAATTTTTAAATTAGTTTCATTTTAGACTCCTTTCATAATCTAAAGCTGTACGTGTCTGATTTTAAACTGAATCACTTCTTAATAGCATGTTGTTACTAAAAACATACCAGAAACATACTATTACTCTGTTGTGAACAATCAATCATGGTTACTTAAAATATCTTTGTGTGAAACTGAATATGTACACAGTACGTTTCACTGATTTATTCATTTATGCGTCTTCATGTATTCACTTGCCAACATATATAATGGAGTTTGTCATTTAAAGTTTAATTTGTGGTTAAGGGATTTCAAATATTTTGGTTTTGATGTTAATCACGTGACTTAATGTGGAAATTTGATTAGATATTATTATGACTTTGAGTGATGTTTGATTTGAGGTAGTTTCCGGTGCTGGTTGTGGTTCCAACGATTGGCTGTATCTTTCTTGAACCACAGAATTTATCTTTACTTCTTCAATGTCGATTTTTTTTCATTTGTTTTTAAATATCTCTTTTATTGGTGACATATTTTATCATATTGTTTTCTTCAATTATTGTAGCTTTTGAAACTGGCTCTTTTTTTTTATCTAACCATCTGTATGCATGTGGTAAATGGAAAATTATAAATATATAAACATATTCGAAATATGTAATGGGGCTATAAAGGTAAACAATTAGAAGCTTAGAAGCTTTAAACTTTATTCCTAAAGTTGATAATAGATTGTGCTCTACTTGAAATAAAACTATTTTTTCCTCTTTGTTGTGTGCCCTCGTGCAGTTTAATTTGTCATACACTAGAGGACATCATACACTCTCGTGTGTTTAGCTGCAGCTATCCCCAACCCCATGTAATGTGTCTAATATACACATTGTTTGTACAGTAACAGGTGATATGGAACCCCCAAAGTCAAAGACAATTATTTTTCTGGTCTTGTGTACACAAGATAATATGTTGAGGCACAAGTGATGGTAACGCATGAAATAAGTAGTTTTTATTAATTTAATTGATATCCAACTGTACATTTATTGCTTTAATTTTCCTAACATGAACAGCAAAAAGCCCAGTGTTGAATTAACTCGCACAGAGTTGACAGTTTTTCAGGGTTTATATAGCTCCGCACTCTCCAGAGTTATTAATCAAAATAGTTAAACATTTAACACTTTGCAGAGTTAATTTTACTCCCTTTAAGTGTAAAATCTACACTGAAAAATGTAAATATTAATTATAACAATTAATGACAATAATCTCAATAATTTTCAAAATTAAAATCAGTTTTTGCCTTTTCATGTGTAAAACCATCAATCATATCATATAAATCATACGCATTAAAAACGCAAAATGTGCTTTGAAATGTTCATCAAATGGCTTGAGGGAGTGGTGTTATGTTTGGTAGGACTGTGGACCGGGGTGCGGATTCAGATCACTCTAGGCAGGTTGAGGTCAAGGGTTTTATTCACAAAGAACTGAGTAGAAGTGGAACTGTGCTTGAAAAGGGCAAGATGAGAGCAGGGGCAGGCAGGTCCTGAAGAGTGGCAACCAGCGCTCCAAAAGATCCTCAAGGCAACACAAAACACTCCAGGTGCAGGAATCTTGGAAAGGAGAGAAAAAACACAAAGCTTTTAGTTCTGGTCTTGACAGAGAAACTCACTCTAAAACTAAGCAAAAACTCTAGAGACTAAATTGGCCTGAAGTACTCAACCATGGGTAAGGAATAATCTGGCGACGAGTCTCAGGTAACCCCACTTCTTAAGGCCAGGCACTGATGAGGATTGCCAGCAGGTGTGCAACTCCACCAGGTGATCAGCTCACTGCCAGGCATAACACACACCCACAGACAGAACCACAGGAGAAACAGAAAACAAGGAACACACCCCCAAGTGTCACAGCATCAACTGTGACAAGTGGTTTGCCTGGCATGAGATGAGATGCTTATCCATGGTGATGAAGAAGCTGTCAATCCAGTTCTTCTGACGCCTAACAGTGAGGAGGTGTGGTTGTTGATCCTGCTGGTTGCGGGAGATGATCCTCCAAACTGTAGCATGACTACGGTTGAGATAAGGAAACAAAGAGAGAGATCATTATTGAAGTGATTACTTAAACATCTCCCTGCCTAGTGTGAAAAAGGAAAGCATATGAAGACAATTTCATACACTTTTTAAACCCCCTAATTTACACACGTGGCTAAGAAAGTGATGTGACAAATTATTATAATCACTTTGGTCCCCCAGGTGGTGGTGAAAGAAGATGTATCAGCAACAACAGGCAGGTAATTTCTTCATGCAAGAACATTTTTGTATTCTTATTATATTATAGCAACATTATTTGACGACCAGGGACTGAGTCTCAGCAATTAACTGTCTTTCTCTAAAATGACTGACCCCACCTTTAATGTGTAAGAAACATTTCAATGTTGCAGCTTGTTGAGGGGAAACTAATTTTAACCATCTTTTAGACCGTTGGGTGGTTCAATCTATAACAACGTGCCACATTTTATAAGCAAATGATATGTTATGTAAGTAAAATCTATATAAAGTACAGTGGCTGAGAAGTTGATCTGGACTGAAAGCATCTCTCCATTTCCTCCTAGACAAATTAGGCAATGCAAATTTGAGGTATATAAATGTCATTTTTGGAGACAGAGTTGCTAGTCAAGATTAGAAGTCTTGTGTAATGGTCTGCCCTGATCACCTGTTTTAACAACGTGATATAACATTAGTGTGACTATCCTGATATACATATCACTTGTCAGATCAGCGATACAGATACAACCTTTGACAGATCCAAGACTCTAAAGAAGACAATGCCAGCAAAGTTGCCTTTCAACTTTAAGAAATGGACTGTGAACAAAATTGTGCAGTACCTTGAACAAGAAGAACTTGGACAATGGGCAGATAAATTCAAAGGTTGGTTTTCTGGTTTGGTAGATTTAATTAAAGCTAAGTTATAATCTCATGGTGTAACGTAAATAAGTTAAGAAGTTAGAAGCTGCTTTAACTAAGGACTTTCCCTATGATTCTGTATTGTGAGGCATGGAAGCCAATATGAAGGCTACTTGTCATAATGTAATACAGGACAGCTATTAACGGCTTTCTCTATTACACAGAAAAACAAATCACTGGTAATAATAATAATAATACATTTTATTTAAAGGCGCCTCTCTGGGCACTCAATCACCGTACAACACATAAAAAATAAAAACAGTAAGAAATAAGAAACAGATAAGAAAAGACAATGTAGTTAAGTAAGTTTATAGTTAAGTGGGGTATGCAGTTCTAAATAGGTGAGTTTTTAGTATTGATTTGAAGAGTGTGAGAGAGTCCAGGTTCCTGAGGTCCGGTGGGAGTGAGTTCCAGAGATGGGGGGCAGAGCGGCTGAAAGCCCTGCTCCCCATGGTGACGAGGAGGGCGGGAGGGACAGAGAGGTGGACAGAGGAGGCAGATCCGAGGGAACGGGAAGGGGTGGCGATGTGGAGGAGTTCGGACAGATAAGGAGGGGAAAGGTTGTGGATGGCCTTGAACGTAAACAGGAGGATTTTGAAGTTTATGCAGAGTTTGACCGGGAGCCAGTGAAGTTGCTGCAGAACAGGGGTGATGTGGTGGATGGAGGGGGTTCTGGTGATGATTCGAGCTGCAGAGTTCTGAACCAGTTGAAGTTTATTGAGGTATTTGTGAGGTAGACCCAAAAAGAAGGGAGTTGCAGTAGTTGATGCGGGAGGTGACAAGGCTGTGTACAAGAATGGCAGTGGAGTGGGGAGAAAAGGAGGGGCGGAGGCGATTAATATTGCGAAGGTGGAAATATGCACACCGGGTGATGTTATTGATATGGGTTTGGAAAGATAATGTGCTGTCAAGGATGACACCCAGACTCTTAACCTGGGGGGAGGGGGAGACAGAGGAGTGGTCGATGGTGAGGGAAAAACTGTCAGCTTTTGAGAGGGTTGATTTAGTGCCAATAAGAAGAAATTCTGTTTTATCACTGTTTAGTTTGAGGAAGTTGGAGGAAAACCAGGATTTGAGCTCGGTGAAGCAGTCAGTAAGGGAGGAAGGTGGGAGAGTGGAATTGGGTTTGCTGGAGAGGTAGAGCTGGGTGTCATCCGCGTAGCAATGAAAATGGATGTTGTATTTGCGGAAGATATTGCCAAGGGGAAGGAGGTAGATTATGAAGAGAAGGGGGGCCAGGACAGAGCCCTGGGGCACACCAGTGGTGACAGGGGACGGGTGGGAACTGAAGGATTGGAGTTGGATGAACTGAGTGCGGCCTGAGAGGTAGGATTTAAACCAGTCAAGGGGTGTGTGCGAAATGCCAATGGAAATTAATCTGTTAAGAGGATAGTGTGAGAGATGGTGTCGAAGGCCGCACTCAGATCGAGGAGGATGAGAATAGTGAGTAAACCAGAGTCGGCTGCCAGGAGGAGGTCGTTTGTGATTTTGATTAGTGCAGATTCAGTGCTATGGAGGGGGCTGAAAACAAAATTGTTCGTACAAGTTGTTAAGGGTTAGATGAGAATGAATTTGGGAAGCAACAGTTTTTTCAAGGATTTTGGAGATGCAAGGTAGGTTGGAGATGGGACGAAGGTTATTATAATTATTAGGGTCAGCACCAGGTTTTTTCAATATTGGAGTGATGGCAGCAGTTTTGAAGAGTGTAGGAACAATTCCAGTGGAGAGTGAGGAATGGATGATGGCAGAGACGAGGGGGAGCAGAGAGGGGAGGCAGGCTTTCACCAGAACTGTGGGGAGGGGATCTAACTGACAGGTGGAGGGCTTGGACTTTAGGATGAGGTCTGAGATATCTAAGTCAGATGGGAGCTGAAAGAAGGAGAATGAGTGAGACGTCAGACAGGGTTCAGGATCTGATGAATTTTCTGATTGAAAAAGGACATCAGGGAGTCACAGAAAGCAGTTGAGTACAGATGGGGAGGGAGAGAGGCCAGGGCCTGATTGTACAACCATCTGATTTCTTTTAGTTTTCACACCTCAATTTTCTCTCTTCAACTAATTCCCTATTATACTCTTCTGTATTTTCTTTTTTTCTTTTTTCGAGGGAACCTAATGATCGTGAGAGAATCCTGTTCTGTATCAGGAAGCTCTGGGAAGTCCAAGGCAAGTTAATTTATGTGTCTAATTATACATCACAATACATTTGCATACATTTTAAGGACTAGAGAGATAAGAGAGAGTAAATAGAAAAAATCAAGAGCTTGTAAAATACACAACTAAAAGATTCCAGGATCAGTGAATGAACCTAATCACAAAATCAAAATTGGGCTTGTTTACTCTCCATTGTTGATTGGACAGCAAAGGAGACGTGGGAGGAAAAAAATCAGGAATATTGCAGTATGAAATAAAGAAAAGACTAGCCCTCAGGAGAACTCGAGTTGGTTTACTCTTTTGGGTAATAACTGGACTGGATTTTGTTGTATGTGTTCTACAGGTGTTCAATGATCCCATCCACGGGCATATGGAGTTACACCCACTTCTTGTCAAAATCATTGACACGCCTCAGTTCCAGAGACTACGGAGTATCAGGCAGCTTTGAACACTCAATTGGGTATGTTTGCAGATTTTTTAGATAGACACAGGTATGTGTTTAGAAAAAACATGGTGCATATGTTTATAGGTATAATAGTTCAGTATATATTTCATATATATACACATTTCTATTTTGGAACAGGATACAGTAGTAATTGTGTAATGAGTTATTTGTTGTGTGTGCTGTATGTGGTGGTAAAGGGTGGCGCATTTAGCAGGACAGCTTGGACAAGCTCTGAAAACAAAGCAGCCAGATCTCAACATCACTGACAGAGACATCCTCTGCGTACAGATTGCTGGTCTTTGTCATGATCTGGGTGAGTGAGGCACACCTTTTCACTTTTACATGTATATTTTAAGTGGTTATAAGTGAAAAGGAAATTGTCAAATAAAAGTCAATTTCAAGGGGGACTTCCGTTTTAAGCATGTAGCGAGCAGACGTGTGAGAAGTGGCTCCCGAATTACTTTTTATTTTCTACCTCATGTTTTCGGCATAAAGTTTGGCGCACCTTGAGTTGACTACGTCTACATTAAGAAATAACTTTGCACAACTAAATGAGACCAAAGAGACGTGACCGAGGGCAAAAAACGACCGAGATGGACGAAGATGCTACAAGTGAATACAACATGGCTACGCAAGCTAGCCCAAGCTCAGAGTTAACTTACCTGCTGATCTTGCTAAGCTTCACTCGGTGCTTCTGTCCGACCTCGCACAGCAAACGGACTCCCTCCTGAAAAAAGCTCTCGGCGAGGCACTGGCACCAATTTCAGCATCCCTGGAACGGGTAAAATCGTCTCTTGACTCCCACGAAGAACGTATCCATGACATGGAGGAAGGGCTAAATGACCACAGCGACAGGATCGAGGCTATTGAAACAAAATGCACCGCACTTCTAGCTGAGAACGATAGGCTGAAAAACAAAGTGGAGGACTTAGAAAATCGCTCCCGTAGGTCCAACCTGCGAGTTGTCGGTATCCCGGAGCATCTGGAGGGCCCGGACACAGTTAAGTTCATGACTGAATTTTTCGAGGAAGTCCTGGGTAAAGAATTCTTCCCGCATCCCCTCATTATCTCCCGCGCGCACCGAGTGGGACCCAAGCCGACCGCCGACTCTGGCGCTAGCTCCAAACGGCCGAGGATATTCCTCGTTCTCTTCCACACTTTCCAAAACAAACACCGCATAATAACGAGGAAACGAGAGCAGCTGTTCTTCAGGGGACATAAGATATTTTTCCACGAGGATGTCAGCGCGGAACTCGGCAAGAAACAAGCTGCCTTTAAAGAAGTGAAATCTCTCCTGTACAAGAAGAGCGTCAGGTTCGCTCTTATCTACCCTGCCCGGCTCCGCGTCCTTCATGACGGACAGACGCTGTTCTTCGAGACCCCGTAGAAGGCCAGGAAGTTTTACGAGTTTCACTGGGGACAGTAAACGATGCTGGAGCATAGATCATCCATGAGAAGGTGAAAGTAAGCTTAGCTTTCGGCTTAGACACTTTGATTCCTTGGGACTATTTGTTTGCTTGGTTAATATATAGGGGAAAATAACAAGAACATTTTTTTCTTTTTTCCTTTTTCAAATAAACTACAGGCCTACACGGTAATATTTACGTTAATGTGGTCTTCATACATGTTTATGGTACAATAACAACGCTGTGGCCTGTGTGATTTAAATATACAACAGCTATGTTTTGCTTTGGTTGTTTTAGTTAGTGTGGCTTTCACACATAACTCTGCACATGGCCATTTCACAGACTGGTCAATTTTAGTAAGGTAAATTAAGTGACAATATCTGTCCCAAGAGAACTTGATACATTTTATTTTAACTAGGCCAGCCACTTCGATTTATTTTACATACTTTTATCAGTCCAATCGTGCTCTGTGTAATTGCACAGTGAGCACTGGTGATCCAGATGCAAATCAGGGATAGATCCTATTACTTTCAATGTTATTTATTGATTTAGTTTGGTCCCTTTTTTCTCAAGGTGAGCCGAATAGATGATTATATATAGGTAGAACACAAATCACTTACTGAGAGGGGAGCCACCCTCAGGTTAGGATAGGAGTTATAGACAACGCTGGATGTCTTGGAAGTTTTCCATCTGGGAATTCCTGCGGTTTTCTTCGTTTGGGGAAGAAGATCTAGGTTTGGGGTGTTCAAGGTGTTTTTTTTGGGGGGGTTTTTTTGTTTTTTTTTTTCTCTCTTCTATTCCAACTTAAGTTTCATGAGAACTGGGCAACATTTTATTTACACGGCAACACTTTATCTTCTAAGGATGCACACAACTATGTTAAACTGTATTTTTATTTCATTATTATTACAATTTTATTTTACTTCTACACAACTGCAAACGGTGTGTGTTGACATCACTTATGACCATAAATGCACTTCAATAATGTGGTTCAGGCTAATCATACACATTTTGGATGTCTCCTATGATAAATAATGCAGGTGGTACAAGCCCAACAGGGGGAGCTGCAGTTAAGTTTGTGTCCTGGAATGTTAAGGGGATGAACGGTCCTGTGAAACGTTCTAGGATTTTTTCCCATCTTAAACAATTGAAAACTGATGTTTTGTTTTTGCAGGAGACACATTTACGGTTAGAAGATCACACCAGACTCCGTAAAGCATGGGTTAATCATATCTTCTATTCCAAATTTACTAACAGATCACGAGGGGTGGCAATTTTGATTAATAAACGAATTCAATCTCACTAAATGCAATAATTGCAGACCCCAATGGTCGATATGTCATTGTCACGGGCCTCCTATTTCAAACACCCGTTCTTTTGGTAAATGTGTATGCCCCTAACTGGGACAATGCTGAATTTGCCAATAAGCTCCTGTCATCCCTCCCTAATTTAGATACACATAGATTGATCCTTGCAGGTGATCTTAATTGTACAATCGACCCATTGCTCGATAAATCTAGCCCTAAATCTGCCTCACCTTCTGTAATGTCAAAGGTCTTCTCAGACTTTATGAGACGAAATGGCTGTGTAGACCCATGGAGGTTTCAAAATCCGACCTCCAAACAATTTTCTTTCTTTTCTCATGTACACCACTCTTTCTCAAGGATAGATTACTTTTTTATAGATAACTCTTTCATCCCTGTAGTGGAATTGGTTGAATACTTGGCCATCATCATTTCAGATCATGCACCACTCATCTTAGACCTTTCTTTCACTTTGAACATTAGAGAGCAATCCTTCTGGAGACTTAACTCCCTGCTGCTTTCAAATGAGAAATTTTGCGAACATGTGGCTACTAATATAGATACTTTTCTGGAAGTAAACAAGATGGAAGGTATTTCATATTCCCTACTTTGGGAAACCTTAAAAGCGTACTTAAGAGGACAAATTATCTCCTATGTAGCACATGTCAATAAGGAACGCCGCAAACAAATACAAGACCTGACGGATTCGATTTTTAATTTGGACCGCAAATACTCTGAAAGCCCCTCCCCAGAATTATATAAAGAACGGATAGCTTTGCGGTCTAGGCTAAATCTTCTTTCCACCAACCAGGCTGAATACTTATTACTGCGGACCCGGAGCACTTACTATGAGTACGGAGAAAAAGCTAGTCGATTGCTGGCTCACCAGCTGAATCGTCAGGCTGCTTCACGGCTTATACCCCAAGTGAGAGATCACGATCAAAATATAGTCACCAACCCAAAGGAAATCAATAATGCTTTTGCAACATTTTACTCTACACTTTACACGTCTGAATTCCCATCAGATGTTACGAATATGAACAGTTTCCTTGATAATTTAGAATAACCTACTATTGAGCCTGGAGACAGGGAAGGGTTAGACCGACCTCTTACACAGTCAGAGATCACTACAGCCATCAAAGACATGCGAACTGGTAAATATCCAGGACCTGACGGTTACCCCCCTGAATTTTTAAAGAAATTTAAAGATAAACTTGCACCTATTATGCTAGAAGTATTTAACGAATCATTGGCAAACGGTTCCTTGCCCCCAACCCTCACACAAGCTAAGATTACACTACTCCTCAAAAAGGACAAGGACCCTTCTAACTGTGGCTCTTACCGTCCTATCTCCCTCCTAAATGTTGATATAAAAATTTTAGCCAAGGTGATGGCACATCGTTTAGAATCTGTTCTCCCTAAAATAATCTCTGAGGACCAGACTGGTTTTATAAAGGGTCGCCACTCTTTTTCAAATATTCGCCGACTTACTAACGTGATCTACTCCCCCGGTCCCTCCTCGATTGCAGAAGCTGTAATCTCTCTGGACGCGGAGAAGGCCTTTGCCCGGTTAGAGTGGAAATACTTGTTTGCCGTATTGGAAAGGTTTGGGTTTGGTGACACGTTTCTGGCATGGATTCGTCTGCTCTATTCGTCACCCACAAGCATGTATTCAAACTAATCAATCTCATTCCAAATTTTTCCCCCTGTCACGTGGGACACGTCAAGGATGTCCACTATCCCCGCTTCTGTTTGCGGTGGCAATTGAGCCTCTTTCGATTGCATTGAAGTCGTCGTTGTTGTTACGGGGGGTTGGGCGTGGGACGGAGGAACATCGCGTTTCTTTGTATGCAGACGATCTCTTGATCTATGTAAGCAATCCAGAAACTAGCGCCCCCGTAATTGTATCACTATTGAACGATTTTGGGTCTTTTTCCGGCTACAAACTTAATTATCAAAAAAGCAAATGCTTCCCCATTAATGATTGGGCAATGCAAATTAAACAAGAAGCAATCCCCTTCCACTTAACACATTCTGGTTTCAAATATCTTGGAATAAACATTACGCGTTCCTTCACCTCTCTTCTTGGAGCTAATTTTACACCCCTAGTTAACCAAACGAAAGCTGACTTTCAAAGGTGGAGCAGTCTACCTCTGACTATTGCAGGGCGGGTACAATCGGTGAAGATGAACGTACTCCCAAAGTATTTGTACTTGTTTCAATGTCTACCGTTATTCCTGACAAAATCATTTTTTCAATCAGTTAACACATCCATTACCTCCTTCATCTGGAAGAATAAAGTTCCAAGAGTTAACAAAGGCTTACTTCAGAGGGGACGTGATGTGGGGGGACTAGCTCTCCCCAGTTTTATTCACTATTATTGGGCAGCTAATTTGCAGAAAATTTTATTCTGGCTCCATGTGCCAGACACCGATTGGTGTACACTTGAAGCACACTCTTGCCACTCGTCATCCCTCCCTGCTTTGGTGTACTCCTCCCTGCCCACAAAGTGGTCCAGGTTTACCTCCAATCCCATAGTACTATCCACCCTTAGAATCTGGGCCCAATTCCGAAATCATTACAAATTCACCTCTCCCTCCCCCCTAAGCCCTATTTGTAAGAATCACTTATTTCCAGCCTCCTCTCTTGACTTAACATTTACTCAGTGGGGCAGGAAGCAGCTTTCCTGTTTTAAAAGCTTGTACTGTAAAGACGGGTTCGAGAGTTTTGATAATATATGCCAGAAATATGATCTTTCACGCAGTAATTTTTTTAGATATCTCCAAATACGCCACTGTGCCAAAACACTGTTCCCTTCTTTCCCGGTCCTCCCTACTGAGGCAGCATGGGAAGAAATGACCCTCCTCTTTCCAAAAAAGGGACTGATATCACAGTTATATTCTCAACTAATGTCTCTGGAAAACCATGACCTTTCAAAAATCAAGAACAAGTGGGAAGGCGAGTTGATGGTTGAGTTGTCGGACAGACACTGGGAGGATGCACTACAAAGGATTAACTCATCCTCATGCTGTGCACGCTTGGGGCTCATTCAGTTTAAAGTAGTGCATAGGGCTCATTTCAGTAGGGCTAGGTTAGCAGATATATACCCAGGAATGGACGGGAGTTGTAATAGATGCTCCCTCTCCCCAGCTGATTTAACACACACGTTTTGGTTGTGTCCCCGTCTAAATCATTATTGGTCATCTATCTTTCAAACTTTATCCAAAGTCATAAAAATTCAAATTAAGCCCTGTCCGTTGATTGCAATATTTGGTATTTCAAAGGAGAGTTTAACTTTAACCCGAAACCAATCGGACATTATTGCTTTTACATCACTTCTTGCCCGTCGTAGAATCTTATTGGTTTGGTCATCCGCTAATCCACCAGCCTAGGCCGCATGGTTAAGGGATGTTTTATTTTTTCTTAAACTAGAAAAAGTTAAATTCACATTGAAAGGGTCAGTCCAGAAATTTTACTTAAAATGGCAACCCTTTGTGAGATATTTTGAGAATCTTAAAGTATTGCCTGAAGTATGAGACACCTTTTTATTTTATATTCCACTTCTTTTTCTCTCTGTTCCTTTTTATTTATTGTTCTATATATTTGTCTAAGATAAAATGAAACTGGAGAACTATTTCACTTCCTGTAAAATGTAACATCCTTAATCCTCCAATAAAAAGATTCATAAAAAAAAAAAAAAAAAAATAAAGTCAATTTCAAGGGTTTCTGTAGGCACTAACAATTAAAGGCTAGTCTGAACTAACAGCAGACAATAAAAACAATGTGTGCAATGGTCCACATGATAATGTACATTTCTGTTCTTCAGAAAACTTTCCTTATTTCAGTGATGAGCTACTGCTAATTCAAACTCAGACATTTCATCTAAAAAATCTAAAGGAATTGCTAACCGATAAGTCCTAGTGCAAAATACTTGCAGGAAGTGTTGAATTTCTTTGAGGGACATTTAACATCAAATCGTATTGAATGGTAAAGTGAAAAGTTTAAAAGGCATTCTTGAAAAGAACTAGTTCATATTACATGTTGTCTGACCATTTCAGAAGGAAAAAGTGTTTATAGTTGTTCCAAAGGACCAAACTTTAGAATAAAAAAAGGTCCAGGTACACTATTTAAATGTCAGCGGGTAATGTACATGGTATTTCCAAGCTGCAGTGTTGATAAAATCATTATTTTATGATTGTGTCATAATTTGACAAAATCAGCTCAAATGCTGGTCAGCAACAACACCTGTACTATGTAAGTGGTTATATTGACATTTAAAATAAGGGATCACAGAGAAACCTAAAGCTAACTAATGTTTTTTCTTAATTTTAACCCCCAACAACAACTGCACAGGATTTATGCAAAAGCTTAATTTCTCCCATACACACTAAAGAATTTATACACTCCGAACAAAGTTTTGGAAAATTTCCATAAATGATGTCTAAGTGTGAACAGGGAGCTGAACCAAGAAAGATGTAGTTTTAAAAGTGACTGACTGGACAGTTTTTAGTCAGATTGATACTTCTGTGTCAAATTGATATCATAGGTATGGCAGCCTATGCAGGTGACTTCTAATTGGAAAAAGGAACTGACTCAAAAGCTCCCTGACGGGCTGACAAAAGAGGACTTATGGTGAGTTTTTATATACTTTAATTTCAGCTTTCTTAAAATCTGGATCATTATTATCTTTTGATTTGTATGATGTTGCCTACCTCCGTTGTGGCATCATTCACTGAAACAGGCGTATCTCTCCCCTTTCTCTTTTAGCCCATCGAAATGAACTATGGGATGGAAGACAAGAACCCCATTGAGGAAATGTATTTCTACAGCAAGTCTGACATAAACACTGCAAAAAAGATCCCCTAAGACCAGGTCAGAAGTAATGACATCAAAACCTTTAACCTTAGTCTTTCTTTACATGAGCTGTTTGTTCCATGTGTGTTCTATATAAAGGCAACTTCTGTTGTTATTATTCTCACAATTGCGGTCATTCTTGTCAGGTGTCCAAATTTCTCCCAGATGAATTTTTTGAGAAGCTGATCAGGTTTTTCTGTAAGAGGACTGATGACAAGAGTCTGAAGGGTGCCAAGGAGCACTTTGACAATTGATTTAAAGAAAAGGACTTTTCAGTGCCTCAGGTAATATTTAGACTTCAATTTTATTAGCTTTTGCATTTATGTCACACTAAATCATGACAGAAGTAATCTGAGGACACTTTTCTAATAGCACCGGTCTAGACTGGACTCCTTATAAAATTATACCCAACAGTTCCCACCATGAGCGTGCACTTGGTGACAGTGGCAAGGAAAAACTTCCTTTTAAACAGTCCAGTATCTATTGGCAGAAATTGAATATAGTATGCAAAGATGTGGCATAAATTTATAACCACCTGAATATAGGAATTGCTCAATTTTATTTACCTTAGAATGAGACGTTTTTATCTACAAACGCCACAGGTCGCCCTTTGTATTTGGCATGTTGAACCATCATGTCTCTACAGTTGCCCAGAACGAACAAATCAAACATTGAATGTAGAAGGGGCCTTTCACATTTTTCATGAGTTTCATGGCCACCGTAGTTTCTCCTACACACTTCACAGCCCCTGGTCATTCCCACATCATCAAATACAGTCGCAAGCGGCGTTAGTTGCATCCCCACTGTAAGCCAGTAAATCCTTCACACTTGTCCTTTAAAAAGCAGGGCAGAGTCCAGCCAATGGTCAGCGGCTGTCTGCCTCGACTCCTTGAGGTTTGAGTGTGGGTGGGGGGTATAGAGAGGAGTAAACTCAATCCCCAATCTAGGCACGAAACGATCTGTAGGAACCTGGAGACAAGAAGATCTAGGCTGTAAAATATAGGATACCGTAGGTACTATGTGGGGACTTCAGACTGGAGATTCCATTAAAGTTAGTTTAGTTATGAGCATTAGGATGGGAACATAAGCAGAGATGGAGAAATTACATATATTACATCTTGTCAGAACTCCAGGATCCAACTGCAGTTTTATTGCTCTCTGATCTTGGATCTTGAGTCTAGTGTTGCAGCTAATGATTATTTTCCTTATTGATGAATCTACAAATTATTTGATTATTCTACTAATATAGTTTGGTCAATAATTTACTATCACATAAGACAAAAAACAAACAAATTCATCACAACTGTGTTTCAGTAACAATTGGCATTTTAGTGGGAAAATAAGAGTATTTCTAGTTTTATTAATTTATTATTAGTCAGTCGACTCATGATTTCAGCTCCAGTGCAGTCTAGTGCAACTTCAGTAATGAATCTCTCACTATAAACTGCTCTTCTTAATACTGATGCACTTATCTGTGCTGTCTTTATTTACATGCAGGATGGAGACACCAGAGCTCAGCCATGAGGAAAATTTCCCCAAAATGAATCTGAAGTTTTGGAAGATCAAAAATAAAAAGAAAGCAAAAATTCCCTGACAAATGTATGCTTCTTTGTGTAGTCTCTGTGTTTTCTTTATAATTGGAATCTGCCAACATATGTAATGGAGTTTGGCATTTAAAGTGAACATTTAATTTGTGGTTCAGCAACTTCAAATATTTAGTGGTGTTTGGTTTTAATGTTAATCACGTGAATTAATGTGGAAATCAGATTAGATACATTTTGATTCTGAGTGATGTTTGATTGAGTTTTTTTCTGGGGGTGGTTGTGGATCCAGCTTGGTTATTTTACTGAATATTTCAGCTCCCCACAAATAGTTTGTACAATAGCAGGTGATATGGAACCCCCAAAGCATAAAAGATGATTTCTCTTGCGTGCACAAGATAATATATTGTATATTAAGAGACAAGAGAATCATCTTTTGTGCTTTGTGCTATAAGTTACGGTCATACATGAAATAAGTAATAACTGAAGAACAGATAAAGAAAATGTATAATATAACCTAAAAATAGGTAAGGTATGTCACGTATGTCAAACTGTACATTTACTGCCTTAATTCTCAACATGCCTCATGACCGGGTCTGAACTGAAGTGTTTGACTCCAAAATACTGTGTCTACTAAATATTTCAACAATGGGTTGTGTTGCCTAAAGAAAACAAATGATGTGACTCAGCATTAATAGCTACAAATTGTTAAAATGTGAATGGGAGCAAAGAAAGGCTTTAAAGCTGCAGTAGGCAGCCCTGCTGTTCATCACTCCACTCCACTGTTCAAATTGCCCAAATTCAACTGGATCTGAAAATTCAAATCAAGTCACAAAATCCAATTGCTTGGGGAATTCAAACAAAAACATCTTCAGGATGAAAAATGCACAATTGGCAGCAATTTTCAAAATCTGTCATTTATTAATTTTCTTATTATTATTGTCTTGTGGCTTCCATACTCTTCTACAATTGTAAAACAAATATCTTTGGGTTGGTGTTGGTCACATGAAGCAAGACATTTAAAGAAGTTGCCTTAGGGTTAAGGCATATGGAGGACTAAAAGTGCCACAATTAAATAAATAAATACACCATTAAATAATTACTTAAATGTGTCATTAATTAATTAAAATTGGAATTAAATACATAAATGTGTTAATAAATGTGTCTAATTCATTCAAATACCGATTCATTTTATGTAAAAAAACATATATAATTATTTCACTATTTATTTAAGTATTTCATGGTCCTGCGTTGCAGTGCTTCATGAATTACTGTCAAAGTCACCCATCAAAAGTTGGTAGGCGGAACCTAACGCCTGATTGGTTACCCTGCGCATCAAGCCAAGGCAAATCAATTCCAGATAATGGATTGATGCAGAGCTAGTGAACACATTTCAATACACTGGGTGGCGCTATTGGACTACTTCTTCTAAATCTGCAGTCACTATATGGTCAATATCTTGGTCAGAAAGTGCTGAAATAATCCCAAGAATTTCAATAAGTTTCTCTGCTTTACTCGCTACATGCTCTGGGTCAGCAGGTCCTGTGTAGCGTTAGACATTTCTGCAGCAGTCTAATCAAACTAATATTCATGGGAGAAAAAGGACAGACCGCCATCGTCTGTTTAGTCTGAGAACTCACACCGTTTATTCTGCGCATGCTCAATATAGCATCCTTGTGCGCGCAGGCACATGACATCACTGCTTACGCTATTTAACATGGCTTTGCTACCCATATTATAAAATATGCTTAACATCCTGCTTCCACACCCTCTGCTAAGTCTAAAATGTCTAAGTCTAAAAAATAAAATAAAGTGTTTAGAAAAATAAAGCTTGAGTTTCCTGTTTTCTTTGTTAACTGTTTCATATCTTGATTAACAGTCTCAACAAATTTTATAATAAATGAATATCAACACATCTTTACAATTGAACAGTTTCTCTTTCTTTCCCTTTTATATCTTTCTATACACATTCTGTTGTACAGTGAGAGAATGGGTCAGGATACTGGTTGATTGATCATATTGGGATCTGAGACTGCATATTTTCTGTGACCTTAGTTCAGACTTGAGTGGGTATGTTTGATGAACACTTTGTGTTTTGTCTCATAGTGGTGTTTCACATTGACACTTTTAATCAGCGCCAACATCTGAGACACACTGGTTTTGTGCTCCCAGTGGGAAGAATGAATATGAATGAATCTGTCCATTAAAAGCTCTATTTTTTATCCACTTTTCTCTTCTTAGAGATCGCTACCTTCTCTTTCCGTCTGTCCCTTGCCTCTCATCGGTCCGTGTATCTTTTGGTCATTCAATTTTCCTTTCAGAAACGGATATTAAAAACAGAACACGAGTGGTTATTTGATTTTCATTTTAAATTACAAAAATTAAAATTGAAGTACAAGGCGTTTTTCTTTTCCATGGTCAAAAAGGGATGAGCGAAATTAATCAAAATATTCGATTTCCATTTTCTATTTCATAAAACAAAAAATAAAATCACTAGAAAACAGAAGCGGAAAAAAGGCCTGTTTTTTCATATTCTGAGACCGGATGTTGTCATTTACAGGACGGTGCTGTGTAGAAGAAACAGTAGGCTAGTAGACTGCGGTCAAGCCAGCCGTGACTCCGATCTCCGTGGTCAAATCAGCCGCACTTAAATTTAGAGTGTACAAGTATTCTCAGCATTATGGTAAATGCGGAGAAACAGCGTATTTACTTTCGGTTTTCAAAATAAAGGTATTAAGAACAGTAAGCTATAATTCGAACCTACATTTAAAATAAAATATGTTACATTAAAGTGTTTGATGCGCCCCTGATGAATAAAAAACACTTTATATCAAGTATCTTTACTGCACCAGTGTGGAGAAATGCCCAAATAAAAGTCTCATATTTATGCCTCCAGAGATTGCATATTTGACCATATTTGAGGTACTGTAAAAACATATTGCTCAGTGTTTCCTGGCTACTGATGGTATATTTGACTTTTACACATCTAAGACTACAAGTATACTTAATATCAAGCATTTTTACTGTACCAATTTGGAGAAATTCAACAATAGATATTTAATAATCAAAGTCATGTTTATAACAAACAGGAAACAGTTCATCTTTTAAGAAAATTCTGTTGAAATTTGTGCTGATTTCAAATGGAAACTTGGCTAGAATTTTAATCCAACACAGCTGAGTTTATTAAAACAGTTAAACTTGGAAGGAAATGTTGAATTTGCATTTATCAGCGCAACAATAATGAAAGCAAATGGGAGAACATTACGAAACATGATCAAATGTACTTATTAAAATGCGTGAATAAGAGGTAAAGGCCTGCCTCCAATACAAGCCTGTTTCAAACAATAACAATAAGATAAAATCACAAATGGCTCATTTTACAGTTCACACACAATCACCTTTAGATTAACTTCAATTTATTTCTCCATATCTAGGACATGGGCCATTTTCCCATCTGTTTGATGCAATGTTCATCCCTAGAGCACGTCCAGACAAGAAGGAGTGGAAGGTAAGAAACAATTATTTCTGTTGTTCATGACATATAACATGACAAAGGAAAACACAGCCATGAGCTGCATTAAGGAAGCAAATCAGTTTGATATAAATGGTAACTAATTAGCAAAGACACAAACAACAAGTCAGTGCTTAGTTGTTAAGCTGCAAGCAAAAAAGCCAACATAATGGCGGATCATTTATTTGTGAGCCCAACTAAACACTGAGATATGGTTTAATAAAACAAATCATCTGATTTCATCTCAGGCATAATGGATAATAATGGCATAATGCAGTCTCTTTAGGTACGGACATCTTCATGGTTATTTTCTCAGACTGGAGAGAAACAGTAGACATAGGCTGAGTAGCACTAACTGTGACTAGTGAACTGATCTTAATGTGTAGAATTTGTTGCAGTCCCCTTACTTTGAAAACATAAAGACCAGGTGAGATGAAAAATGTCATTTTAACCCTTTAAGTATGCATCCTCCGTTATATTGTACCCCTATTTAAGACTACATGCCAAAATCATCGTTTCTTACTGTAAAACAAAATGTGACACATGCTGATAAGTTGATTGATAAGTATGAACTAACTGATTTCAACCAACAATATCATGACATTCACCTGTCAATAAAGCTTCAACTTTTAGTGACACAGAGCGAAGATTCATGAGTTAGCTAGCTAGCAAAAGCATGGCTAGCTACTGGAGCCGAGTGATTCTGGGACCTCACTGAAAGTGAATCATATTTGATTTGTTCCTGTTCTCACTTTGAATTCTGGTATTAATATATTAATGAGTCTGTTTCTGTTGCAGCATGAAACTGCTTCTCTGGCCATGTTTGACCACCTGGTGAAAAGTAATGGTCTGGAGGTTGAGATGAGGAAGTATGACCTGATCCCATCTGAGGATCTGACCTTCATCAAGGAGATGATTCACATAGACAACAACAATGACCAGGAGGAATAGCCAAACCGAAAAGTTTCACAGGAATTGTGTGAAATCAGTCAGTATTAATATTGTTACAGCAACCAATGTCTAATGCCAAGATTGTCTGTAGTCTCCACAGTGGCCGTATGAAGGCCGTAAAGAAGACAAGTCCTTCCTCTATGAAATCGTGTCCAACAAAGAAAATGGCATTGATGTGGACAAGTTTGACTACTTTGCCAGGTGGGACTTGTTTAACAGCGACTGTGGAACAATTTACTTTTTGATGTAGAATGATGAACTTTGTAGGGTTTGCTATGATAAATCACAGCGTCCCCATTTGTTGGTACAACAGTGGTTTAACTGTATTAGTGTAATCAATTTATTTTGGTTATCAAAGTTTAGAATTATCAAAAGATAATAGAAAAATGACTTTAATTAATATTAAAGATCATCGGGGCACCACCCTTAAATAAGGGAATGATAGCCAATATTTGATTGATAAGTCTCATAAAAATACACTAAATTATTAATTTAGAAATCAGATTAATAATTCTAACTACAAGTTTTAATAATTAACTACAACCACCATCCCTATTAATAATTAAAGTGGAAGCCTTTGGACTTCTGCATAGAAGAGGTTGGTATCACTCACTCTTGTACGAAATTAAATAGGCCAGCATGTATAAACACAAACATTTATTAAAGGAACAATAAACGCAAACAGAGGAAAATACACAATGTGCAATCTAACTTAGCGGGAGGGTTTGAGTTTGAGTTGCATGCAAAGACGGTGTCTGTGTGAAGCATTACATTAAACTAACATCACTTTAGCAATGTCTCAGAGAATACAGTTACTACAGTAACCTGCGTTAATCAAATCAACAACACAATACAATAACCACAATAACCCGAATAAAAACACATTAGTAACATCAACAGTAATTAAAGTCCTTGTTCAGCCGTTAACTCTGTTAAGTTATCTGTTTATGCCCAGTACGTTACCGACAGTCCAATGGAGGAAGAAGAAGAAGAGTTGCGGGTGTGCTGCGTGGATCAGCTGATCAGATTCTGGTTCTGAAGTCCAAACAGTCTCTGATGTCCGCTGGTGCAGGTAGCAAGAAAAAGGCGTTTCGCTCGTTGCTCTGCAGAGTTAAGGACTTGGCGTTAACGTCGCGTTGCTCCGGTAAAGTCCGACTTTCTCTTTAAAGCTGCAGATGTTGACTCCCGTTAGCGGTGCGCTGCCCAGGGATCGCAGGAAGAAGCTCTTGTGCCGTACTATAATCCTTAGACGTGCGTCGGCGGTGGGACGGGCCGCACCGAGGTCCTAAACGTATCACCCGGTGTGGGCGAGCGAGTGAGCGGCGAGAGAAAAGAGAGAAGAGAGAGAAGAGAGAGAAGAGAAGTAACTCCGTATCAGGAGGTTTATCACCTGGACATCGCGCGTCATCAAGCTGCATGAGGTTACGGTCACAGGAAGTGACAGGAAGTGACCCGTCACAATAAAAGTCCAGTTAACCACATGAACGAGCTCACATTTTAAGGTCCCCTTTGAGCCGACAACTTTTATGTATTATTTCCCCAGAACAATTACAATAAATAGGAACTAAAAGGCAGATCTTCACAGCTTGGTACCAACTGGAGGAACTTGCAGTGATCATATTTGATGAGAAGAGATGTAGGCTTTCCAAAAGATCCTCATAGAAATAAATAAATTACCTTATTTGGAAAAAAAAATACTAACTACAAAATGATAGTGTTGGGAGATTTTAACATTGATTGGCTAACTAAAGCTTCTCATTATTTAAAGGAGTTTTTCCCAGTCTATTCAACCCTGTGCTCTATAAATCCCAACTGCAACAATAATATTATTAGGCCCAATCTTTTTTTTTTTTTTTTTTCAGAGCAAGAAATTAAAAACATTTGGGCACAGTGACAGCATGTAAAATAGAAACACAAATAAAAGATTTGACATAAAAAGGCCACCCCACCACTCCTTTAGTTAGTCAGAGGAGCAGAATTACTTAATGTCTTCTGGCATAGGGAAGATATAAATAAGATTATTAAAATTAATAATAGTGCGTCTGGTTCACCATCTACATGGCCCACAGACTGTGATAACACGAGTTTGAGGCTGAAGTTCTGTCCAGAAGGGGGGGCCTGGTAAAATAAGATAGGACAAGAAGGCCGAACAGTGACGAGGTGTAATGACCGTTTGCCCAGATGTGGGAGGGGAGTCAGTTACACAGGACATTGTTTGGAACTTTCTCCAGGTTGCTTTTGCTGATTAGACACAATAAGACAACTTTCTTCACTCTGTTCTATCTTAGGGACTGCTACCACCTGGGCGTCCAGATCAACTTTGACTATCATCGCTTCTTAAAGTTTGCCAGGGTGTGTGAGGTGGATGGCCGGAAGCACATCTGTGTTAGAGACAAGGTGCAGACAATGTTACTCTTGCTTTTTATCAGACTGTAAACAGATTTGTTCCGACTAAACTATAGGCAATACTCTCAACAGGAGGAGGATAATATGTCTGAAATGTTCCACACCAGGCTCTGTCTCCACAGAAGAGCCTACCAGCACAAAGTGAACAAGATCATACAGACTATGTCAGTACTTACCCTTCTCTACTTTTTCTACTTTTCAAGCAGCTTTTCTGAAGAATGATGCATTGTATTCTTGTGATGTTTTTAGTCATTTTGTTTTACAATGAAATGGAAGGATTAATTAAAAATTGTTCCAGTGAGAATAACATCTCTGGTAGTTTGGTGACATGTGGTGACATTTTGTGCGTTTCATTTTTAAAAGTAAACATATCACTTTTAAAAATGATTCATGATTAATAATGATTAATGATGATGATTAATAATGATTATCCAGGATCACAGATGCTTTTTTAAAAGCAGACGGACACATCTGGATTGAAGGCTCAGGAGGGAACACGTTCACTCTCTCCACAGCCATTGATGACATGGAAGCCTACACTAAGCTGACAGGTCTGTAGATAGCACTGGGACAAATCTGATTCTCTAGCTGTAAGAACACATGTTTGTTTAGTAAATCTTTATAATAAAAATCATAAGCAATTGTAAAATATGTCATTACAATCGCAATACGATTTTTTTATTAATTAATTCACATTTTATTTAGCTGATTTTCTGAAGTTTGGTTAAAATCTGTGCTATATTTTGATGAAAACCTAGTTACTAACAGTTAGGCTACCTAGCTTATTATTGAGAAACTAACAGGTATATTGCATTAAGAGGTAATAAGTTTTGTTGAAGTTGTTGGAGTTTAAAACTCATGTAAACGCTATCAAATCTAATAAAGAGCAGGACAGTTGTAAACATTACCCTAGAATTTGACATAGCTAATCATGCTAATATGCATATAAACACAATGGTTAATCCATTTCCTCCACATTTTCTCAAGTTTTTAAAAATCATAAACTGGGTATTGCTCCTACTATTGTCTCATGCACAAAGCAGGTGCAGAACTCCAAAACCTGACAGACTTTCTGTGTCCACTTATTTACATTTACACGGTTTCTGTTTGGTGGAGTTCAGCAAATGTTCAATTGAGAGTAGAAGCAACTTGCTGAAGTTTTGAAGGCATCTGTTTCTGATTGAAACATATTTTAAATGACAAATGACAACGGGTGCTGTAAAGGTTGTAATGAATGATAAATGTACACGCCAGATTGATACAGCTCTTCACAAGCATGCTTAAATAAAGTTAATTTAATTTATTCCATATTTAAAAACAAATGAATGAGGTAAAGTAATCTTGTCCCAGTTATACTGTCTCTCAGGTAACCATGTCAGTTTTGAATTTGTGAAACACTATGAATGATTTTGTGACCATGTCTTTGGTTTGGTTTAATTCACTGATCTTCCACTCTGTTTATCTGTTTCTCTGTAGATGCTGTGTTTGAACAAATACTCAACTCAACATCCGAGGAGCTGAAGGATGCAAGAGACATTCTACGCAGGATCATCAATCGATACCTCTACACGTTTCTGGGTGAAACGCTGTTTGAGGATCCCACTGAGGTTTCTACTAATGTTGTTGTGTGCCTTTATTGCATTACACTGTCTGTCACATCATCTATTTCTCTGTTATAATGAAGTTGGATGTTATACTCCTTTTGTGTGCACATTCCTTGTTTCTGTTTTCTCTATCTTTTTCTCATTGCTTATATGGATATTGTGCTTGGATTTCCCTTGGACTACAACACATCCCTAACATTTACTTACCATTTGAATTTAGAGGATGTGATAGCAGTGTGAGCAAAATCACAGAAAGAAACTTACTCCATTACTGCATCTACACTGAGCTGGCAGTTTTTTGTGTGAAAATGACTCACATTCACACTCCCATACAGGTCATATATTTCATAGAAACTTCTGCCCACAGGTAGACAGTAAAAAAGGAAAAATCTCTTCTTCTTCATCTCCTTTTTAGGTGGCAAACAACAAAATTGCGCATCACAGCCAACACCTGGTGATGTGTTGGACAGACAGCCCAGCTGACAAATACTCCTTGTGATGCTGTTTTAATGCAGCCAATATTGTTGTCATTTAATATTTTCCTGTACTGGAACGAGTATGACATAAATATTGTGGCTCAGTAGGTAGAGCAGGGTGGATGATTTGATCTTCAGCTCCTCCTGTCAATACGTCAAAGTGACCTTGAGAAAGACATTGAATCTGAAAGCTCTTGTTAGCTGCGTTACGATCAAAAAGCTCTATGTACACTGCATACAATTATAAACAACACTTTTGTTTTTGCATTTTCGAGTGGCCTTTTATTGTGGCCAGCCTAAGGCACACCTGTGCAATACCCATGCTGTCTGATCAACATCTTGATATGCCACACCTGTGAGGTGGATGGATTATCTCGGCAAAGGAGAAGTGCTCACTAACACAGATTGACAGATTTGTGAACAATATTTGGGAGAAATACTTTTGTGTACATAGAGAAAGTCTTAGATCTTTGAGTTCAGCTCATGATGAATGGGGCAAAAACAAAAGTGTTGCGTTTTTAATTTTGTTCAGTGTAAATGTAGTCCATTTAACAGGTAATGTGCATGTTATTTCCAAGCTGCAGTGCACATACAATCACAATTTTATGATCATGAGATCTAGTCAAACACACACACACACACACACACACACACGCACACAAACTCCCTGACTGACAAAAACTGCACAGATTTTCCTCACACACACTACAAGATTTAAATACTCTGTAGAAAGTTTTAGAAAAGAACCATGAATTCTGTTTTAGTGTGGACAAAGAGCTAAAACCAAAAACAAAGATTTAAATGTAAATGCTTAATGCAGATGTAGTCCTACAGTGTGTTGTTAAGATGCAATAAATCTCAAACCTCTTGTCCTCCCACTTCTCACCCTTTCTCCTCCCTTCCTAGAAAAAAGGAAAAACTCCAGGTTGGAAAAAAAAATTGATGGAACTTCTTGATGACGGGTTGAAAGAACATGACTTTGAGATTATGGTGAGTTTTCAGTCTAAAACTTCACTTTTCTTTAAATGTTTATCTTAATTATCAATTGATTTGTAAGATGTTGTCTTCCTCCATTTTAGCATAATTTTATTTGCGAATAGGAAAACAAACTTCTCTCCCACATTTCTCTGTTAGACCATTAAAATGGTCAAAAAACTTAGGAGACAACAAAAACATTTTCTTAACTTTACTAACACACACACACACACACACACACACACACACACACACACACACAACACCAGACTGTAACTGCTTCATGCGGATGTAGTCCTACAGTGTGTTGTTAAGACTTGTGCAGTGCCCGTATGAAGTATGTATTGCTATAGAAAAGTGGGAGGTTAAGTAGCTTTTTCATGGATGGCCAAATGAGGTTGTGTTTGAAGGGGGGACGTCAGGGACATTTAGGTTTGTTGTGAAATGTGTAGATTGATAACTATTGTGTTTTCATATAATTTGGCTTTTAGCAAGGACACTGTTGGGAGTTGAACCCCATTCCACTAATGTGAAAGTACCACACCTCATGGTCAGGGCATATTAATTCTGAAAGAACAAAGTGAACTACGAGAGAGAGAGAGGGGGGGAGAGAGAGAGAGAGCAATGGCAGTAAGGGTTTCCACATGAAAATTTTTTTTTGAAACTACCAAAATAGTGTGAAGGGATAAGCCGACGGCGTGGAGCGAGGGCGTGTCGGTCAGACAGTGTGATAACTGCACAGGTCTCTCACTCAACTTAATAAAAAGAAATGTCCCACAAAGCAACGTTACAGGACCAAACAACAGTAACGTAGTAACTGTAACCAGAGCCCGTCTACGGAGAGCCTGGCCACTCTCTATTAAGTCCCATTGTACCGAATTTTGGTTGCAGTTCCACCAGAGTTCCACGGGGGGCGATCGCCCATCAGTGCAGAATGAATGGGAGTAGATGGAGCTAGACGGCTAAATTTGTCTCTTTCACCTAATTCTCGTTGAGAAATCTCAGATTTGATTGTAGTTTTTGCAAGTTCAACATGGGTTATAGGTCGAAAGTTGAATGAAGGAGCACTTATGTCCTTTCGATTTCTTACAGGACGAGTTGTTGTTGCCCATAACACGCTAGCATTCTCCTAATGAACGCTGATTGGTCAGTGAAGGACTGATTACGACCAGAGATCCCGCTTGATGGCATCGTGGCATCCGAAGCGGGACCAGAATGTTAAGGCGGATTTTTCGCTTAAGTTCTTTTTTTTTTTAACACAGCAACTTTTTTTTGTGTTGCTGGTACTTTTATCTGCCTATCGTTATGTCTGTGTTGTCGATGCCTCGAGAGAAAAGGAAGTGCCGAGCGCGGAAGCACAAAGTGACTCAAGGCTTGCCAGAAAGCAGTATCTCTGGCTGTACGATGTGTATGACGTCATTGACATTTTAAAAGACTTTTAAAAGCAAATAAGTGACTCTAAAAAATCTAACACCCAGCAATGTGTAATTTCTTTGCATCCCCTTTCGAATGCAACATTCAAATTACTAGACAAAAAATTATATCCTGAGAAAAGTGGATTTTGAGGGTATAGCTCCATAGACCTCCATTCATTCCGCACTCATCCTGTGAGCGCCCCCACATGGAGCCAGAGTGGAACTGCAACAGTTCAGAACCCGGAAGTTTACCGAGAGTGGAACATCTCCCCTTATTAGACATTCTCTGCTGTAACTGTCTTTGGCAACTTACATGAGGAAAAAAAATACCACAGCTGTACATGGAGTAGCGTCTGTCCTCCTGTCTGTCCTCCCGCCTGCCTTACGATTCTTCCGTCACATTTCTGCCCGAAAAACCGGAGTCTGTTAGACCATTGAAATGGTCAAAAAACTTAGGAGGCAACAAAAACATTTTCTTAACTTTACTAACACACACACACGCACACACACACACACACACACACGCACACAAACTCCCTGACTGAATAAAACTGCACAGATTTTCCTCACACACACTACAAGATTTAAACACTCTGTAGAAAGTTTTAGAATAGCTCCATGAATTCTGTTTTAGTGTGGACAAAGAGCCAAAACCGAAAAACAAAGATTTAAATGTAACTGCTTAATGCAGATGTAGTCCTAAAGTGTGTTGTTAAGATGCAATAAATCTCAAACCTCTTGTCCTACCACTTCTCCTCCCTTCCTAGGAAATATTTCCTGCTTGGAAAAGGGAATTGGCTGAAACTCTCGGTGGCGGGCTGACCGAAGATGACTTTGACATTACGGTGAGTTTTCAGTCTAAAACTTCACTTTTCTTTAAATGTTTATCTTAATTATCAATTGATTTGTAAGATGTTGACTTCCTCCATTTTAGCATAATTTTATTTGAGAATATGAAAACAAGCTTCTTTCCCACATTTCTCTGTTAGACCATTAAAATGGACTATGGGAAGAAACGCGAGGACCCCATTGATCACTTATATTTCTACACCAAGCGTGACACTACCCGCGCAATCAAGAGGAAGGTCAGAACTAAAACAATGATGACAACAGTTTTAATTTTAGTCTTCCTTTGCATTATATCCCTCTGTTGTCATTATTCTGAAATGTATGCTGCTTTCAGCGTTGTCAGGTGTCCAGGATTCGCCCAACGTGCTTTTCTGAGCAGCTGGTCAGGTTTGTCTGTAAGAAGGCTGATCCGAAGGCTGATCCGAAGACTGACAAGAAAAAGTTTAAAAAGTGGTGCAAGGCAAAGGGCTTTCCAGAGTATCAGGTAATCTTCATAAATAAGCTGTTAAATATATGATATTGTAGATATTATGTGGGAGTTTGTGTAGCCTAGGGCTGTAGCCACTGATTACTTTCATTATTGTTTAATATACCAAATATTTTCTTGATTAATTGACAAATATAGTTTGGTTTATAGATGTAACAATTTCCTTAAGCCCAAGGGGATGTCTTATAAAAGCAGTCAGAAAACTCCAATATTATTAATTTACTTAAACATTAGACAGAAAAACAGCAAAGCTGGATATAGGCAACATTTTTGCTTGAAAAATGACTTTTAATTATAATTATAATTGTTTATCAAAATAGTTGCCCAACTTCAGTTATGCATCTCTCACTCTGAACTGCACTGCTCTTGGTAATATCGATGCACTTGTCTATGCAGGAAAATCAATCTGAGCTTTTGGAAGATGGACATCAAAACTGAAAACAAGCAAACACTCCCTGGTACTCATTGGTTCATGATTGAAAATGATTTAAATATTATATAAGGTGAGTATGTTAATGAGCACAGAGTAGTTATTGACACCGTCTCTCTCTTCTTTATAAATGAAGAAGCATTTGTATATTCAGGCCCTGTACTCTGGTCTTTTAGAGGCCTGATCAATATTATACATGTATCTGTGGTTCAGTTTGATTTTAGACTCCTTTCATAATCTAGAGCTGTACGTGTCTGATTTTAAACTGAATCACTTCTTAATAGCATGTTGTTACTAAAAACATACCAGAAACATACTATTACTCTGTTGTGAACAATCAATCATGGTTACTTAAAATATCTTTGTGTGAAACTGAATATGTACACAGTACGTTTCACTGATTTATTAATTTATGCGTCTTCATGTATTCTGTGTATTCCTTATGATTGGGGCAAGCTGCAAAGCACTTGCCAACATATATAATGGAGTTTGTCATTTAAAGTTTAATTTGTGGTTAAGGGATTTCAAATATTTTGGTTTTGATGTTAATCACGTGACTTCATGTGGAAATTTGATTAGATATTATTATGACTTTGAGTGATGTTTGATTTGAGGTAGTTTCTGGTGGTGGTTGTGGTTCCAACGATTGGCTGTATCTTTCTTGAACCACAGAATTTATCTTTACTTCTTCAATGTTGATTTTTTTCATTTCTTTTTAAATATCTCTTTTATTGGTGACATATTTTATCATATTTTTGTCTTGAATTATTCTACCTTTTGAAACTGGCTCTTTTTTTGACGGTTGCGTTGAGACCATTCATGGATGACTTGAATAAAACCTTACAGAAAGACAAGATCATACTTTGTATGCTTTATTAAACAAATTGCCACCACAGGGGGTTTAAAGGGAAACCTATCAGAGACAATTAGAAGCTTTAAACTTTATTCCTAAAGTTGATAATAGATTGTGCTCTATTTGAAATGAAACTCTTTTTTCCCCTCTTTGCTGTGTGCTCTTGTGCAGTTTAATTTGTCACACACTAGAGGACATCATACACTCTCGTGTGTTATGCTGCTGCTATCCCCAACCCAGGCCCGGCCCTAACCAATTTGGCGCCCTAGGAAAGATTTTAGGTGGCGCCCCCCTTGCATCGCAGTAAATTCCACTGCCAGTCATATACATACATATACTCACGCAAGAAACTGAATAACTTTCTTTGACATTTTATTTTATTTTTAGAGAAACAAGTTGCTCAATCAAAACAGTTAACAAGAAAATAATAAATTAGAAATAAATAATACAATAAATGTCATATAAAGAGCCTACACAAAGTATAAAATTTAACTACCTACAAAATAAAAACAAGTGATAAACCTGAGGTGGAGGTGACAGGAGGATCACTTGATGCTGTTGAAGCGGTGATGACTGTAGACAGCCCAGGATTTGCAGGAGGTGGATTTAGATATTTCAACAGCGCATCTGAAGAGAGAAGAGGAGTAAGTGACACCGTTGGGTGTTGCAGTCTAATAATAAAGGAAATGATTCCAAGAATAAAATTAAATAATAAAACTGAAAAACCTAAGGGATGCATTACTTTCACTGTACTGTGCATGAATGATATACAGTGCATTTTTTTCTGATATGCAAATTAGATTAGATTTATTGTCATTGTCATTACAGTGAAATGCTGATTAGCAGAATGCAAAGAAGCAGTAAACTGCAGTATAATATAACATATGGGAATGTATTAACATTAATGAAGTGCACTTTAACATGGATGTAAAGTGTAACACTATAAACACACTTTAAACAATACTGAACTGTAACACAACAAACAACAAGGCTTACAACTCTAATAAATAAAGGTGTGTGAAGGTAATAGCATTTGACTGTTACCAGCAGAGCAAACGTTAGCTAACCAATAATAAATACAAATAAAAATGTAGACAAATGTAAAACACCTGCTGAATAGATCTAATCTTTACAAATGTCCCTGAGAAATATAAGGTGGGAGTATTACTTTTTTGCAACAGACAAAATCATTTCATTACATTATCTTTACGCTACCTCTGTCTTTGTTGCGTTTTTCCTCCTCTTCTTTTCTTTTTTCCCCTGGGCACCAGAAAGTTTTGGTCATTTGACATTGTTAATGTTTTCTGGGTCAACCATCTCTCAGAGAGCAGGTAGAGTCTAATCAGTCAGAGGAGGAGGGGGGGCGGGGGGCTAAATAAAGTCTTATTATTGTTTAATAGGCTTTGCTATGCAGTTAAATTTATGGGGGCTTTTATAAATAATAACCAACTATTTAGTATAAAAATAGTGAAAGTTGCTTTTGTTTTTTTCTCCCCATCGCGGCGCCCACAGCCTTAACATTTATGCCCGGGCCGGCTTTCACATTCATAACTAAGAAATAATATAAGAATGTATTGCTACAACTCAAAACCCAACACTCAAAGTGCCATTTAGAATAACACTGAAGATGTTCAACCTCCTTTGTTGGGATACAAAACACACCAAAGGTGGGACAACTTCATCATCATAGATGGAGTAAATCTTTGAGATGATTGTACATTACCCATGTTTTCTCATAGGTGGTTTTGAAATTTCCATCTAGATTAAGTACAAAAATTACAACAAAAGAGGAATGAGTACTTAGTTAAACATATGGTGAAGTAGAACACATGCAATTTACTGTCAAGCAAACTGAACTGAAAGAATTGAACAACAGTGTCATCTTGTGGCCATTTGGTGTAGTTGAGCAAAAGTACCCATATACCGATCAGCCATAACATTATGACATATGGGCACCCTGGTGGTCATAATGTTATGCAGACCCATTCCAACAAACTGGGGATCCACTGTGTGTTCTGACATCTTTCTATTAGAATCAGCATTAACTTTTTCAGCAATTTGAACTACAGTAGCTCATCTGTTAGATCGGACCACACAGGCCAGCATTCACTCCCCACGTGCATCCACGAGCCTTGGGCGTCCATGACCCTGTCCCCGGTCTGCAAGTGTATAAGCAATGGTAAAAACTGTAATAAATGTTTAAATTCAGTGTTAAAATAAAACTGTGCATAAGGTAAAATGTATTTCTATGGCTGTTATTGATATTGTTGGTTAATATCGACTTTTGCAGGGAAGGCAGGCCAAATATACAAATATTTCACATACATTTTCTGTTAAAGTACTATTACATCTTGTGTTGACTGACAAATGATAATAGCTTAACTTATAAAAGTACATTGTCAAGTTTGGCTGAAAATATTATGGTAACAATTGACAATATGGTACACAATGGATGGAGACCAGAGATTGTGAGATGTTGTCTGAAGAAAGGGGGTGTAAGCAAGTTGTAATGTACTAAACTGGCTTACTTACTTACTTAAGTCTCAACCATCAGTGTTCATGCTCTGTGAGTTGTTGCAGGCCTGTCGTAAACTGAGAAATTCACTCCCCAATCTTATTTATGTTCCCAGTGCCTTCTTTACTTTTCATAGTGTAAAAGAACTTTCTGTATTGTAAACAAAATTGTGTCAGCAAACCAAATTTAGAAGGCCATCGCATTTCCTCATAAACAAATTAAGCATTGCAAATTTGACTTTCAGTCCGAGGGCAGTAGTTAGATGGGTGTGGTGGAAACATAAAAGCCAGGTATTGTTCAAACTCTCCTGCCCTGATCAGTATCAACAAAATTATGTAACATCAAAAATGTCTGTTAGATGAAGATACAACCTCTGATGTTGTCGATGGGTTTGCCAGGGAGCTGTGAGCAACAGAGAGTGTAGGAAATGTGCCAGTACTTTACTAAAGTAAAGAACAAGTACCCCAAAAATGTACTTGGTTTCATTCCATTAACGCTGTGAAAACATCGCCGTCCCACTGTTCCTAAACCAAGCACATTCCTCATGCTGGATATTTGTGACACAGTACAGATAATACAGACACCATGAAGGATATTTTTCACTCTATACAAACATGATATTCTAATGATAGATTAAAAGATCAAAATTTATTTTCCAGTACTGATGAAATTTATAGTGTTAGGAAACTACTTTGAAAATGTGACTAAAGTTGAGAGTATGGAGAATAGTTCCATACAATCTTTAATAATTAAAGGATTATACAGAACTGCAATACACTAATACAAAATGAAGTTAATTTTCAGTTTTACTTCTCCCCCCACCTGTCTGTACTGTCTCTCACCCCCACTCTATGATTGGTTGGGTAAATTACTCCTAAACATTAGCAGCATTTATTGAAACGTGTTGGTGCATGATGTGATGTAGATGCAGGTGAAAAGAAAGGAGAAGAAATTGAGCAGAGCCAATACCACTAACTGACTGTGGCTATTAGTTTATCTATATTTTTGAATCAGAAGTTAAACTAAATTGCATATAATTTAATATATCTGCCACTCACTCTCTTAGAACAAAGCTATGGGTCCTATGCAGGGTTAGGGAGGATAAATGAAAAGATTACACCTTTATCAAGAACTAGGCACGTGAACTTGCAAACAGACTGGGTTTTGTCATGTGTGACACTATATACTCTATTTAGCTTTCAGTGTGCATGCTAAGGAGGTGTGAAGAGGACAATTTTACAAATGGCCTAATGGTTTCTGACAAATCATTGTGAATTGGTTGAAAAACAATTCCAACCCTGTTTCCGAAAAACTGAAAAAACTTTTTTTGTTTTTAATTAATATTAAGTGTATATGCAAAACAAAGGTTAATATGATCCATTAAATGATTTAAATAATTCGATAGACATTACCAATACATTTAGGGAACTAAAATATACATATGACAGGTTATGTGGATTAAAAAAATATATTTATGTTGCACATGTACAGTTTAGTTTTTTTGTCAAAAGCTGCTCAAAATATTTTGTACACCATTTTACTGCATATTGCATATAGTGTATATATTTTTCATTTACAGTCTTATACTTTCTATTATATTTTATAATATTCTTATGTTGTGATTCTTGTAGTGTACTTGTACACTTCTGTACTCTTTGCACTACATTCCCCTATGTTGCTGTGTCTAATTTGAATTTCTCCTACTGGGATCAATAAAGATCTTATCTTATATCTCTTATGTATAGTCCCACTGTTCACTGGAGCAAAATATTTCCCATTTCATATCATGCTGTATTATTTGCAATGCTTAATGACCATTTTTTTTTGAGCTTTAAATATAATTATTTTATCTAAAGGAATAATTGTGTCGTGGAAATTCTTCCCCAAGTAGAGAGGTGCTAAGTCTCTGAAGAACTTTCAAGCCGGTGTGATAATCAAGTCACTTTAACTCATGCTGCATGGAGAGAAGGTCACGTCATGGATGTTCTCTCCCGACTTCCAAAATGCTCTCCCTTATATACATTTCAGTGCATCTCATTACATCACAAACAATGAAACCCCCTGTGTGTCTTGCAAATGTTACTCCTGTAAATCCAGGTCTCTCTCACCAAATGGTCCTTTGATGTGTGACTTCCCCCTGGCTCTTCCTATCATAAACTCAACCTTTTGACCAGGGGCACATCTATTTTATTACCCCCAAATCCTGTTTCTCTCCCACATTCCCTCCTTTTGACACAACGTGTCAACTAGACACAATATTTCCTTTAAACATTTTAACAAGATTACTAATGATTAAAATTACAAGTTAATATGAAACATTTTTTTAACCTTGAACAATACAAAAGAAACAAAAAGAAAAATCAAAAACACATTATATCACTCTGACTATACCAATACTTCATCTTCATCACTTTCACTGTATGGATTTCCTGGGGCCCAATCTGCTATGGTACAACATTCTTCATTATCATTACTTTGTTCCAAAG